ATGAAGAATTCCTTTTTCAGCACAACCTGGCACCTGCTCACAGGGCCAAAACCACTGGTAAATTGTTTACGGACCGTGGGATTACTGTACTCGGCCTGCCAACTCTCCTGACCTGAACCCCACAGAGAATCTGTGAGATATTGTGAAGATGACCCAACACTGTGGATGAACTTAAGGCCACTATCGAAGCATCCTGGGGCTCCATTACACCTCAGCAGTGCCACAGGCTGATTGCCTCCATAACACCTCAGCAGTGCCACAGGCTGGTTGTCTCCATAACACCTCAGCAGTGCCACAGGCTGATTGTCTCCATAACACCTCAGCAGTGCCACAGGCTGATTGTCTTTATAACACCTCAGCAGTGCCACAGGCTGATTGTCTCCATAACACCTCAGCAGTGCCACAGGCTGGTTGTCTCCATAACACCTCTGCAGTGCCACAGGCCGATTGTCTCCATAACACCTCAGTGCCACAGGCTGATTGCCTCCATAACACCTCAGCAGTGCCACAGGCTGATTGGCTCCATAACACCTCAGCAGTGCTACACACTGATTGTCTCCATAACACCTCAGCAGTGCCACAGGCTGATGGCCACCATAACACCTCAGCAGTGCCACAGGCTGATTGTCTCCATAACACCTCAGTGCCACAGGCTGACTGCCTCCATAACACCTCAGCAGTGCCACAGGCTGCCTCCATAACACCTCAGCAGTGCCACAGGCTGCCTCCATAACACCTCAGCAGTGCCACGGGCTAATTGCCTCCATAACGCCTCAGCAGTGCCACGGGCTGATTGTCTCCATAACACCTCAGCAGTGCCACAGGCTGATGGCCTCCATAACACTTCAGTGCCACAGGCTGATTGCCTCCATAACACCTCAGCAGTGCCACAGGCTGATTGTCTCCATAACACCTTAGTGCCACAGGCTGATTGTCTCCATAACACCTCAGCAGTGCCACAGGCTGATTGGCTGCATAACACCTCAGCAGTGCCACAGACTGATTGTCTCCATAACACCTCAGCTGTGCCACAGGCTGATGGCCTCCATAACACCTCAGCAGTGCCACAGGCTGATTGTCTCCATAACACCTCAGCAGTGCCACAGGCTGCCTCCATAACACCTCAGCAGTGCCACAGGCTGACTGCCTCCATAACACCTCAGCAGTGCCACAGGCTGATTGGCTCCATAACACCTCAGCAGTGCCACAGGCTGCCTCCATAACACCTCAGCAGTGCCACAGGCTGCCTCCCTAACACCTCAGCAGTGCCACAGGCTGCCTCCATAACACCTCAGCAGTGCCACAGGCTGCCTCCATAACACCTCAGCAGTGCCACGGGCTGATTGCCTCCATAACACCTCAGCAGTGCCACAGGCTGCCTCCATAACACCTCAGCAGTGCCACGGGCTGATTGCCTCCATAACACCTCAGCAGTGCCACAGGCTGATTGCCTCCATAACACCTCAGTGCCACAGGCTGATTGTCTCCATAACACCTCCACAGTGCCACAGGCTGATTGTCTCCATAACACCTCAGCAGTGCCACAGGCTGATTGTCTCCATAACACCTCAGCAGTGCCACAGGCTGATTGTCTCCATAACACCTCAGCAGTGCCACAGGCTGATTGCCTCCATAACACCTCAGTGCCACAGACTGATTGTCTCCATAACACCTCAGCAGTGCCACAGGCTGATTGCCTCCATAACACCTCAGTGCCACAGACTGATTGTCTCCATAACACCTCAGCTGTGCCACAGGCTGATGGCCTCCATAACACCTCAGCAGTGCCACAGGCTGATTGTCTCCATAACACCTCAGCAGTGCCACAGGCTGATTGCCTCCATAACACCTCAGCAGTGCCACAGGCTGATTGGCTCCATAACACCTCAGCAGTGCCACAGACAATCAGTCTCAACACCTCAGCTGTGCCACAGGCTGATTTCCTCCATAACACCTCAGCTGTGCCACAGGCTGATTTCCTCCATAACACCTCAGTGCCACAGGCCAGGCCATGCCATGCCACGCCGTATTGAAGCTTTCATTTACACAAAAGGATTCCTGATCCTAGCCTGGCTCTGCCAGACCCTTGTAGTTCCGCCATGCTCCACCAGAGGCGTTTGGCTGAACCACATGGATCTGGTATCGAGCCTATAACAAACGCCTTCCCCAGATTATTTTTTAATCGACCAATCAGGATTGCCGGTGTTACGTGGGGTTTGCACTGCCTTCTCAAGCTTCTCTCATGCAGCAGCGAGAGGAATCCAAGATGGCGGACGTAAAGTCAGCGAATCTTTTTAAAAGAGTAAATACGATCGAATTAAGACACGGATGTCACTTTTAATGCAATTTGAGGCGAGATGTTGATGGTTCTATGTTGATGGTTCTATGTTGATGGTTCTATGTTGATGGTTCTATGTTGATATATGTGTGTTTTAAGAGTCAAATGTTCCTGTAAAGTTTGGTTGAAGCACTGGTTCAGTGTTCCTGTTTACACACTATGCAGCAGGGTTGCCAGGTTTGGTGGTTCCCGCATATTTGTTTCCAAGAGACTTGTAGGTATTAAATAAACAGAAAGACAATAAACAGAATCATGACAGCCCAAGTTGATTATATTACGTTTTTAGCCAAAAAATCATTCTGAGTGTTTTTTTGTGGGTATTCTCGTGGATTTTGGGTTGGAAAATCTTGCTGGGATTTGGCAACCTATGGGAGCCGTGTGCTTCGATGTGAGTGGTTGAAAGCAGACTTCATTCAAGATAACGGACAAGTGGTCTATGCCTTCTGAAATCCAACCACTATGGCTCAGTACCAGACTCATGTGTGAAGTGCAGCTACATGGGTCTGGCCAGAGTCAGGCTATCCTGATCCAGTATTGAGTGCATAACTGAACATCATTATTTGAAGGTTGACATTTTTTGTATTAAAAACACTTTTATTGGTCGGATGAAATATGCTAATTTTTTTAGATAGGGATTTTTTTTTTTTTTTTACTTTTTTGCCAAAATCATCAATATTAAAACAAAAAAAGGCTTGAACTCCTTCAGTTGTGTGTAATGCATCTAAAATATATGAAAGTCTACTGTTTATCAGTACATTACAGAAAATAATGAACTTTATCTCAATATGCTAATTTGTTCAGAAGGACCTGTATAAATACTGTACCATCAGTCACACAGGTACCATCAGTCACACAGGTACCATCAGTCACACAGGTACCATCAGTCACAGAGGTACCATCAGTAACACAGGTACCATCAGTCACAGAGGTACCATCAGTAACAGAGGTACCATCAGTCACACAGCTACCATCAGTCACACAGGTACCATCAGTCACACAGGTACCATCAGTCACAGAGGTACCATCAGTAACATAGGTACCATCAGTCACAGAGGTACCATCAGTAACATAGGTACCATCAGTAACATAGGTACCATCAGTAACACAGGTACCATCAGTAACACAGGTACCATCAGTCACAGAGGTACCATCAGTCACAGAGGTACCATCAGTCACAGAGGTACCATCAGTAACACAGGTACCATCAGTAACACAGGTACCATCAGTAACACAGGTACCATCAGTCACAGAGGTACCATCAGTCACAGAGGTACCATCAGTAACACAGGTACCATCAGTAACACAGGTACCATCAGTAACACAGGTACCATCAGTAACACAGGTACCATCAGTCACAGAGGTACCATCAGTAACACAGGTACCATCAGTCACAGAGGTACCATCAGTAACATAGGTACCATCAGTAACATAGGTACCATCAGTAACACAGGTACCATCAGTAACATACTGACCCCAGGGACTCCTTAAACCAGGACATGTCCAGGTCTGAAGCTACAGAGCATTGGGATGATCCAGAAGAGGATTGGGAGAATGTCACATGGTATTGGGAGAATGTCACATGGTCAGATCAAACCAAAATACAACTTTTGGTAAAAACGCGTGTTTGGAGGAGAGTTGCATCCAAAGAACACCTACTGTGAAGCATGGGGGTGGAAACATCAAGACTTTGGGGCTGTTTTTCTGCAAAGGGACCAGGACGACTGATCCGTGTAAAGGAAAGAATGTGTGGGATCATGTATGGACCATGTATGGGACCATGTGTTGACCATGTATGGGACCATGTGTGGACCATGTATGGGTCCTGGAGCGGCCTTTCAAGGCCCTGGAGTTCTGTCTTAACCTGAAGATTTGAGGAAATGGGTGGAGTCTGCTCCTGCTGGGTCTGACTGCAGCCACAGTGGCCCTTTCTGGACCGGTTTGGACACTTCTGTCATCAAACATCTTTGGAGAGAGGTTTGAAAGTCTGTGTTGCTCAGAAACAGCCCTAAATCATCACTGCTCTAGAGGAGATCTGCAGGAGGAATGGGCCAAAATACCAGCAACAGTGAAAACCTTGTGAAGACTCTCAGAAAATGTCTGAGTTCTGTCATTGCCAACAAAGGAATATAACAAAGTATTGAGATGAGCTTTTGTTATTGACCAAATACTTATTTTACACCATCATTTGCAAATAAATTCCTTAAATTATCCACTCAGCCACCGCGCACTCTCGTCTCTCAGCAAGAAGGTCCTGGGTTCGAATCCCGGTCGGACCAGGGCCTTTCTGAGTGGAGTTTGCATGTTCTCCCCGTGTCTGTGTAGGTTTCCTCCGGGTACTCCGGTTTCCCCTACCACTAAAAACATGTACAATAGATCTGGCATGTGCCTCCTGTACTGGCCCCTCCCATCTCTGTGTGGAGTGAGAGGACAAGTGCCCTAAAAATAACAATTGTAAACCGCTTTGTGACTCTGGTCTGTGAAAGGCCGTATAAAATAAAGATTACTTACTTACTAAATATGTGATTTGATTTTCTGGATTTTTTTGTCTCATTCTGTGTGTATATATAACTATGTACATATTAGTCTCATCTGGTGATAATGCGATGGTTCTGTTTCCTCTTTGATTCACAGACAGTTTAAAAAAGCAGTTACAGACGCCATCATGTCCAGGAGAGCCATCCGCAACATGAACACACTGTGAGTCACTGCTGCTGCTGCTACTGCTGCTCCTATTGCTCCTATTGAGCCTGTTGTGTGTGCAGATATCCTGATGCCACTCCTGAGGACCTCCAGGCCTCTGATAATGTGTGCATCATCTGCAGAGAGGAGATGGTGACTTCAGCCAAGAAACTGCCCTGTAACCACATCTTCCACTCCAGGTCAGGCTAATGCTAATGCTAATATCCATGACCTCAGACTGGACCTCTCGGTGGTCAGACAGTGGTTTGAGTAGCCTCTCCCTAACATCAGGTCTTATCTTCCTTGTTGTCTTCTCCACAGCTGTCTTCGCTCATGGTTCCAGAGGCAGCAGACCTGTCCCACCTGCCGCATGGACATTCTGCGGGCTACCACCCCTGCGCCTACTGCCAATGCTAATGCTAACCCTAATGCTAATGCTAACGTTGCAGCGCCGGCAGCCAACGCCCCTGCTCCGGCCAATAACAACAACAACGGTGATTGACTCCAGCTCTTAGTCCTCTCTCTATGACAGACTCAGTCTCACAAACTAGGATCTAAGTATGTCCTCTGTTGTGAGTTTTAAAGGTCAAGAGTATGTCCTCTGTTGTGAGTTTTAAAGGTCTAGAGTATGTCCTCTGTTGTGAGTTTTAAAGGTCGAGAGTATGTCCTCTGTTGTGAGTTTTAAAGGTCGTGAGTTTTAAAGGTCGAGAGTATGTCCTCTGTTGTGAGTTTTAAAGGTCGTGAGTTTTAAAGGTCGAGAGTATGTCCTCTGTTGTGGGTTTTAAAGGTTGAGAGTATGTCCTCTGTTGTGATTTTTAAAGGTCAAGAGTAGGGATGTACCGATCCAGATTTTTTGTAATCCGATCCAATTCCGATATTCTTAAATATTGTTTTGCCGATACCGATCCGATACCGATCCAATAAAACAATTTCTAATATTTTCAAAGCATTAAAGATTTTGCATTTTTACCTGAATAAATATGTTTGTCGTATCGGCTAACACACGTTAGCAGCCCTTGTTTGCAGTCACGGGGAATGAGGCTCAAGGAATATGTTCACGAGCAGCATAGTTAGTCCTGGTGAAATCCTGGTTTAGTCCTGGTTTATCTCCTGTTTTGTGTCCCCATGACGACTTCGTGCGGCCGCTCTCTGATAGCTCTCTGATAGCTCTCTGATAGCCGCACGGAGGAAAAAATTTGCTTTCTCTTGCTTTCGCCGCATGCACCGGGTGTCTGTGTCCACTGCCTCTGACACACCGCACATGCTAAGCCTCGCACAGACGTGCATAACCATTGACACGGCATTGAAAAACAATCGATAGATCCATGTACGTTACGCATTGTGCGGTTGTTGTTTTTGTATTTCCCAGAAAGTTTTGCGGGTCACTCTTGGCTGTGATAGGTCGAGAAGCCTCTGCCTACATCCCCCAGAATGCCACACGCCTCTGACTCGGCTTTACTTTCTGTGTTTTCGTCCTGTTTTTTCTTACGGATTGATGTTAAACTAACATCCTATCGACCCAGTTTTCTATTGATATCGAACACATGTCTATCACAATATCTCTCGTTGTCGTTTTATCGCCCAGCCCTAGTTTTACATTGTATTTAGTTTATGGCAGCTGTAAAGCGTGAGCATGCTGAAAAGGGACGTAAATCGGCTTCATATTTACCAAATCCGGTATTATCCGATCCTTACAAAATACCCATATCGGCCCCCGATACCGATACTAAATATCGGATCGGTACATCCCTAGTCAAGAGTATGTACTTTGTTGTGACTTTTAAAGGTCGAGAGTATGTCCTCTGTTGTGAGTTTTAAAGGTCTAGAGTATGTCCTTTGTTGTGAGTCTTATGCCGTGTCTCTACAGTGGCCCCTGGGATGATGCCGGCCTTCCCCCCTGGAGTCTTCCCGTTCTGGGGTCCTTTTCCTCCTGTGCCTCCACCTGCTCCTGCTGCAGCGTCCCCTAGTGCTGAGGCTGCTCCAGGCTCCTCTGAGACACCAGCTGCAGGTGATTACAGCACCTGGACAGTCACAATGACTACTAAAAACATTTACTATGAGAAAGACACCCGAGAGAGACACAGAGACCAGAAGGAGCGAGACCAGAGAGAGAGAGCGAGACCAGAGAGAGAGAGCGAGACCAGAGAGAGAGAGCGAGACCAGAGAGAGGGCGAGATCAGAGAGAGAGAGCGAGACCAGAGAGAGAGCGAGATCAGAGAGAGAGCGAGACCAGAGAGAGAGCGAGACCAGAGAGAGAGAGCGAGACCAGAGAGAGAGAGCGAGACCAGAGAGAGAGAGCGAGACCAGAGAGAGGGCGAGATCAGAGAGAGAGAGCGAGACCAGAGAGAGAGAGCGAGACCAGAGAGAGAGCGAGACCAGAGAGAGCGAGAGAGACCAGAGAGAGAGAGCGAGACTAGAGAGAGAGAGCGAGACCAGAGAGAGAGAGCGAGACCAGAGAGAGAGAGCGAGACCAGAGAGAGAGAGCGAGACCAGAGATAGAGAGCGAGACCAGAGAGAGAGAGCGAGACCAGAGAGAGAGAGCGAGACCAGAGAGAGAGAGCGAGACCAGAGAGAGAGCGAGACCAGAGAGAGAGAGCGAGACCAGAGAGAGAGAGCGAGACCAGAGAGAGAGAGCGAGACCAGAGAGAGAGAGCGAGACCAGAGAGAGAGAGCGAGACCAGAGAGAGAGAGCGAGACCAGAGAGAGAGCGAGACCAGAGAGAGAGAGCGAGACCAGAGAGAGAGAGCGAGACCAGAGAGAGAGAGCGAGACCAGAGAGAGAGAGCGAGACCAGAGAGAGCGAGAGAGACCAGAGAGAGAGCGAGACCAGAGAGAGGGCGAGATCAGAGAAAGACACCAGAGAGAGACCAGACAGAATAAGAGATGAAAATAAAGCTACTAACATGATCCGAGATTCATGACAGAAATGAAATTGATGCAGCTCTAACTATCTCTAACTAGCTCTAACCATCTCTAACTATCTGCTTTTGTTTGTGTTCCAGACTCGTCCACAGACCCCCCTCCTCCCCCGTCTTTGCCGGGGTTCCCCTTCTCCTTCCCCCCTCCCCCTCCCCCCTGGCTACACATGCCGCCGCCGCCGCCATTCGGTAAGACACTCACAACACACAGCTTCAATGTTTCACTCTGGAGGAGATCCTCTGTGGACCGAGGACCGAGACAGAGACAGAGACAGAGACAGAGACAGAGGCAGAGGCAGAGGCAGAGGCAGAGACAGAGACAGAGACAGAGACAGAGACAGAGACAGAGGCAGAGGCAGAGGCAGAGGACAGAGGAGAGAGACAGAGGGTAGAGGACAGAGACAGAGGGTAGAGGGCAGAGGTAGAGACCAAGGACAGAGACAAAGGACAGAGGCAGAGACAGAGGAGAGAGGACAGAGGGCAGAGGAAGGAGACAGAGGCAGAGGACAGAGGTAGAGGACAGAGGTAGAGGGCAGAGGTAGAGGACAGAGGTAGAGGGCAGGGACAGAGGCAGAGGACAGAGGCAGAGGCAGAGGACAGAGGCAGAGGACAGAGGCAGAGGGCAGAGTCAGAGGGCAGAGTCAGAGGGCAGAGTCAGAGGACAGAGTCAGAGGACAGAGTCAGAGGACAGAGTCAGAGGACAGAGGCAGAGGACAGAGTCAGAGGGCAGGGACAGAGGCAGAGGACAGAGGCAGAGGACAGAGGCAGAGGACAGAGACAGAGGGCAGAGTCAGAGGACAGAGGCAGAGGACAAAGGACAGAGGCAGAGGACAGAGGCAGAGGACAGAGGACAGAGTCAGAGGACAGAGTCAGAGGACAGAGTCAGAGGACAGAGTCAGAGGACAGAGTCAGAGGACAGAGACAGAGACAGAGGCAGAGGACAGAGGCAGAGGACAGAGGCAGAGGACAGAGACAGAGGGCAGAGTCAGAGGACAGAGGCAGAGGACAAAGGACAGAGGCAGAGGACAGAGGCAGAGGACAGAGGACAGAGTCAGAGGACAGAGTCAGAGGACAGAGTCAGAGGACAGAGTCAGAGGACAGAGTCAGAGGACAGAGTCAGAGACAGAGGCAGAGGACAGAGGCAGAGGCAGAGGACAGAGTCAGAGGACAGAGTCAGAGGACAGGCAGAGGACAGAGACAGAGACAGAGGCAGAGGACAGAGGCAGAGGACAGAGGCAGAGGACAGAGGCAGAGGACAGAGGCAGAGGACAGAGGCAGAGGACAGAGGACAGAGGCAGAGGCAGAGGACAGAGACAGAGGACAGAGACAGAGGCAGAGGACAGAGACAGAGGACAGAGACAGAGGACAGAGACAGAGGACAGAGGACAGAGGCAGAGGACAGAGGCAGAGGACAGAGACAGAGACAGAGGCAGAGGACAGAGACAGAGGACAGAGGCAGAGGACAGAGGACAGAGGCAGAGGACAGAGGCAGAGGACAGAGGCAGAGGACAGAGACAGAGGCAGAGGACAGAGGCAGAGGACAGAGGCAGAGGACAGAGACAGAGGACAGAGGACAGAGGACAGAGTCAGAGGACAGAGACAGAGACAGAGACAGAGGACAGAGGCAGAGGACAGAGGCAGAGGACAGAGGCAGAGGACAGAGGCAGAGGACAGAGACAGAGGCAGAGGCAGAGGACAGAGGCAGAGACAGGGACAGAGGACAGAGGCAGAGGACAGAGGCAGAGGACAGAGGCAGAGGACAGAGACAGAGGCAGAGGCAGAGGACAGAGGCAGAGACAGGGACAGAGGACAGAGGCAGAGGACAGAGACAGAGGCAGAGGAGAGGACAGAGACAGGGACAGAGGCAGAGGACAGAGGACAGAGGCAGAGGACAGAGGCAGAGGACAGAGGCAGAGGACAGAGGACAGAGGCAGAGGACAGAGGACAGAGGCAGAGGACAGAGACAGGGACAGAGGACAGACAGAGGCAGAGGACAGAGACAGAGGACAGAGACAGAGGACAGAGACAGAGGACAGAGGACAGAGGACAGAGGCAGAGGACAGGGACAGAAGACAGAAGACAGAAGACAGAGGACAGAGGACAGAGGACAGAGGACAGAGGCAGAGGACAGAGACAGAGGACAGAAGGCAGAGGACAGAGACAGAGGACAGAGGCAGAGGCAGAGGACAGAGGCAGAGGACAGAGTCAGAGGCAGAGGACAGAGGCAGAGGCAGAGGACAGAGACAGAGGCAGAGGCAGAGGACAGAGACAGAGGCAGAGGACAGAGGCAGAGGCAGAGGCAGAGGCAGAGGACAGAGACAGAGACAGAGACAGAGGCAGAGGCAGAGGACAGAGACAGAGGCAGAGGAGGACAGAGGCAGAGGACAGAGGCAGAGGACAGAGGCAGAGGCAGAGGCAGAGGGCAGAGGCAGAGGCAGAGGCAGAGGCAGAGGACAGAGACAGAGGCAGAGGCAGAGGCAGAGACAGAGGCAGAGACAGAGACAGGACAGAGGCAGAGGCAGAGGCAGAGGCAGAGGCAGAGACAGAGGACAGAGGCAGAGACAGAGGCAGAGGGCAGAGACAGAGGCAGAGGCAGAGGCAGAGACAGAGACAGAGGACAGAGGCAGAGACAGAGGCAGAGACAGAGGACAGAGGACAGAGGACAGAGGCAGAGGGCAGAGGCAGAGGCAGAGGCAGAGGCAGAGAGAGGGGCAGAGGCAGAGGCAGAGGCAGAGGCAGAGGCAGAGGACAGAGGCAGAGGACAGAGGCAGAGGGGCAGAGGACAGAGGCAGAGGACAGAGGAGAGAGACAGAGGCAGAGGACAGAGGCAGAGGCAGAGGACAGAGGCAGAGGCAGAGGACAGAGGCAGAGGACAGAGGACAGAGGACAGAGACAGAGGCAGAGGCAGAGGACAGAGACAGAGGCAGAGGCAGAGGACAGAGGCAGAGGACAGAGGCAGAGGACAGAGGCAGAGGACAGAGGCAGAGGCAGAGGCAGAGGCAGAGGACAGAGAGGCAGAGGCAGAGGCAGAGGCAGAGACAGAGGCAGAGACAGAGGACAGAGGACAGAGGCAGAGGCAGAGGCAGAGGCAGAGCAGAGACAGAGGACAGAGCAGAGCAGAGGCAGAGAGAGAGACAGAGGCAGAGGCAGGCAGAGGCAGAGGCAGAGGCAGAGACAGAGACAGAGGACAGAGGCAGAGACAGAGGCAGAGGGCAGAGACAGAGGCAGAGGCAGAGGCAGAGACAGACAGAGGACAGAGGCAGAGACAGAGGCAGAGACAGAGGACAGAGGCAGAGGCAGAGGCAGAGCAGAGGCAGAGGCAGAGGCAGAGGCAGAGCAGAGGCAGAGGACAGAGGCAGAGGAAGAGGACAGAGGCAGACAGGCAGAGGACAGAGGCAGAGCAGAGGCAGAGGCAGAGGACAGAGGGCAGAGGCAGAGCAGAGGCAGAGGCAGAGGCAGAGGACAGAGGCAGAGGACAGAGGACAGAGGACAGAGACAGAGGCAGAGGCAGAGGACAGAGGCAGAGGACAGAGGCAGAGACAGAGGACAGAGGCAGAGGCAGAGGACAGAGGCAGAGGCAGAGGACAGAGGCAGAGGCAGAGGACAGAGGCAGAGGCAGAGGACAGAGGCAGAGGCAGAGGCAGAGGACAGAGGCAGAGGCAGAGGCAGAGGCAGAGACAGAGGCAGAGGACAGAGGCAGAGGCAGAGGACAGAGGCAGAGGACAGAGGCAGAGACAGAGGCAGAGGACAGAGGCAGAGGACAGAGGCAGAGGACAGAGGCAGAGACAGAGGCAGAGGCAGAGGCAGAGGACAGAGGCAGAGACAGAGGCAGAGGACAGAGGACAGAGGCAGAGGACAGAGGACAGAGGCAGAGGCAGAGGCAGAGGGCAGAGGACAGAGGCAGAGGCAGAGACAGAGGCAGAGGACAGAGGCAGAGGCAGAGGCAGAGGCAGAGGCAGAGGACAGAGGCAGAGGCAGAGGCAGAGGACAGAGGCAGAGGCAGAGGCAGAGGACAGAGGCAGAGGCAGAGACAGAGACAGAGGCAGAGGCAGAGGACAGAGGCAGAGGCAGAGGACAGAGGCAGAGGCAGAGGACAGAGGCAGAGGCAGAGGCAGAGGCAGAGACAGAGGCAGAGACAGAGGCAGAGGCAGAGGCAGAGGCAGAGGCAGAGGACAGAGGCAGAGGCAGAGGACAGAGGCAGAGGACAGAGGCAGAGGACAGAGGACAGAGGCAGAGGACAGAGACAGAGGACAGAGGCAGAGGACAGAGGCAGAGGACAGAGGACAGAGGACAGAGGACAGAGGCAGAGGACAGAGGCAGAGGACAGAGGCAGAGGACAGAGGCAGAGGACAGAGGCAGAGGCAGAGGACAGAGGACAGAGGACAGAGGCAGAGGACAGAGTCAGAGGACAGAGGCAGAGGACAGAGGCAGAGGACAGAGGCAGAGGCAGAGGACAGAGGACAGAGGACAGAGGCAGAGGACAGAGTAATAAAGGGCTTTATGTCACTGGCTTTTTCAGTGATGCCATTTTCAAAATAAACCAGCGTCAAACAAAGCTTTTTGTGTAAACACAGCTTTAGAATAACCACAGAGTCTTCTGGCCATGTTCCAGCTTCTTCCCTCTGTGTTTAAACATGAATCTAACTGTTAATCTAATGTGACCTCTGAACTTGTGCCTCCCCCTCAGTGGCCTCCATGCCCCCCGCCCCCCCCTCCCTCTCCTCCCTGTCGGAGCAGGAGCTGCAGGATCTGGAGGTCGAAGGTCGTCAGGGTCTGGAGGCGCGGCTTCAGTGTCTGCAGAACATCCACACTCTGCTGGACGCCGCCATGTTGAACATCCACCACTACCTGAGCTCCGTGGCCACGCTGCGGTGAGTGCCAGGGTCTGGACCGGGTCTGGACCGGGTCTGGACCGGGTCTGGTCTTCAGGGCTCCTAACAGTTGTAGAAGTCTGATGTGGGTTTCCTCCTCAGGCCGGTGCGAACGGGAGCTACAGGCGCTGATGCTAATGCTGCTGGAGCTAGTGCCACAGAAGCTAACCCTAATGCTACAGACGCTAATACTCCAGAAGCTAATGCTAGTGCTACAGGAGCTAACGGTGCAGGGACTGACACGTCTGGTGCTTCAGCAGCAGAGGCCTCGCCAGCAGAGGGCGCTACAGGTGAGTTGAATCTGAGCTGAGGAGGTGTCTGTGGAGGAGGTGTCTGAGGAGGAGGTGTCTGAGGAGGAGGTGTGTGTGGAGGAGGTGTCTGTGGAGGAGGTGTCTGAGGAGGAGGCGTCTGAGGAGGAGGTGTCTGGAGATGTCTGAGGAGGAGGTGTCTGAGGAGGAGGTGTCTGTGGAGGTGGTGTCTGTGGAGGAGGTGTCTGTGGAGGAGGTGTCTGTGGAGGTGGTGTCTGGAGATGTCTGAGGAGGAGGTGTCTGAGGAGGAGGTGTCTGTGGAGGTGGTGTCTGTGGAGGAGGTGTGTGTGGAGGAGGTGTCTGAGGAGGAGGTGTCTGGAGATGTCTGAGGAGGAGGTGTCTGTGGAGGAGGTGTCTGAGGAGGAGGTGTCTGAGGAGGAGGTGTCTGTGGAGGCTGTGTCTGAGGAGGAGGTGTCTGAGGAGGAGGTGTCTGTGGAGGAGGCGTCTGAGGAGGAGGTGTCTGGAGATGTCTGAGGAGGAGGTGTCGGAGGAGGAGGAGTCTGAGGAGCAGGTGTCTGGAGAGGAGGTGCCTGTGGAGATGTCTTAGGAGGAGGTGTCTAAGGAGCAGGTGTCTGTAGAGGAGGTGTCTGGAGAGGAGGTGCCTGTGGAGATGTCTTAGGAGGAGGTGTCTGTGGAGGTGTCTGAGGAGCAGGAGTCTGGAGAGGAGGTGCCTGTGGAGATGTCTTAGGAGGAGGTGTCTGAGGAGCAGGTGTCTGGAGAGGAGGTGCCTGTGGAGATGTCTTAGGAGGAGGTGTCTGTGGAGGTGTCTGAGGAGGAGGTGTCTGTGGAGGTGGTGTCTGAGGAGGAGGTGTCTGAGGAGGAGGTGTCTGTAGAGGAGGTGTCTGAGGAGGAGGTGTCTGTGGAGGTGTCTGAGGAGGAGGTGTCTGTAGAGGAGGTGTCTGGAGAGGAGGTGCCTGTGGAGATGTCTTAGGAGGAGGTGTCTGAGGAGCAGGAGTCTGAGGAGCAGGTGTCTGGAGAGGAGGTGTCTGTGGAGATGTCTTAGGAGGAGGTGTCTGTGGAGGTGTCCGAGGAGGAGGTGTCTGAGGAGCAGGCGTCTGAGGAGCAGGCGTCTGAGGAGCAGGTGTCTGGAGAGGAGGTGCCTGTGGAGATGTCTTAGGAGGAGGTGTCTGAGGAGCAGGAGTCTGAGGAGCAGGTGTCTGGAGAGGAGGTGTCTGTGGAGATGTCTTAGGAGGAGGTGTCTGTGGAGGTGTCCGAGGAGGAGGTGTCTGAGGAGCAGGCGTCTGAGGAGCAGGTGTCTGGAGAGGAGGTGTCTGTGGAGATGTCTTAGGAGGAGGTGTCTTAGGAGGAGGTGTCTGAGGAGCAGGTGTCTGTAGAGGAGGTGTCTGGAGAGGAGGTGCCTGTGGAGATGTCTTAGGAGGAGGTGTCTAAGGAGCAGGTGTCTGTAGAGGAGGTGTCTGGAGAGGAGGTGCCTGTGGAGATGTCTTAGGAGGAGGTGTCTGTGGAGGTGTCTGAGGAGCAGGAGTCTGGAGAGGAGGTGCCTGTGGAGATGTCTTAGGAGGAGGTGTCTGAGGAGCAGGTGTCTGGAGAGGAGGTGCCTGTGGAGATGTCTTAGGAGGAGGTGTCTGAGGAGCAGGAGTCTGAGGAGCAGGTGTCTGGAGAGGAGGTGCCTGTGGAGATGTCTTAGGAGGAGGTGTGTGTGGAGGTGTCCGAGGAGGAGGTGTCTGTGGAGGTGTCTTAGGAGGAGGTGTCTGTGGAGGTGTCCGAGGAGGAGGAGGATGTGTCTGTGGAGGAGGTGTCTTAGGAGGAGGTGTCTGTGGAGGTGTCTTAGGAGGAGGTGTCTGTGGAGGTGTCCGAGGAGGAGGAGGATGTGTCTGTGGAGGAGGTGTCTTAGGAGGAGGTGTCTGTGGAGGTGTCCGAGGAGGAGGAGGATGTGTCTGTGGAAATGTATTTATTTTATTTATTTATTTAAGGAAAGCCCCATTGAGAGAAACTATCTCTTTTTCAAGTTAAAATGAACAAATAAGACTTACATCAGTAATACAAAACAAAGAAACAAGCGTAACTCAAACATAAATTATTAACAATTATATATATATACACATATACTTACATACACACACATATAGTATATACATATATATAAATATACATACATATAAACACACAAATACATACATATACAATCATATACACACACATACATTATATACATATATATAAATATACATACATATAAACACACAAATACATACATATACAATCATATACACACACATACATTAGTATATTGTATTTCATACACACACACACACACACACACACACAGACACACACACACACACACACACGTATCTTAATCCCAGAACTACGCATTTCACTCTGAATATCTTCATATATATATATATATATATATACACAATGTGCATATACACACACAAACACATATATACATAATTATACATACACACATTATTACACACATATACACACATATACACACACAAACACATATATACATAATTATACATACACACATTATTACCAGGAGTTTCATCTTAATATTTAAGCTTTCAGCGTGCTGTATAAAGGAGGCTCACTCATTCACAATTTACTATGTCTGTGGAGGAGGTGTCTGTGGAGGAGGTGTCTGTGTGTGGAGGAGGTGTCTGTGTGTGGAGGAGGTGTCTGTGTGTGGAGGAGGTGTCTGTGTGTGGAGGAGGTGTCTGTGGTGGTGTCTGTGGAGGTGTCTGTGGAGGAGGTGTCTGTGTGTGGAGGAGGTGTCTGTGGAGGAGGTGTCTGTGGTGGTGTCTGTGGAGGTGTCTGTGGAGGAGGTGTCTGTGGAGGAGGTGTCTGTGTGTGGAGGAGGTGTCTGTGGTGGTGTCTGTGTGTGGAGGAGGTGTCTGTGTGTGGAGGAGGTGTCTGTGTGTGGAGGAGGTGTCTGTGTGTGGAGGAGGTGTCTGTGGTGGTGTCTGTGGAGGTGTCTGTGGAGGAGGTGTCTGTGTGTGGAGGAGGTGTCTGTGTGTGGAGGAGGTGTCTGTGGAGGAGGTGTCTGTGGTGGTGTCTGTGGAGGAGGTGTCTGTGGAGGAGGTGTCTGTGTGTGGAGGAGGTGTCTGTGTGTGGAGGAGGTGTCTGTGTGTGGAGGAGGTGTCTGTGGTGGTGTCTGTGTGTGGAGGAGGTGTCTGTGTGTGGAGGAGGTGTCTGTGTGTGGAGGAGGTGTCTGTGTGTGGAGGAGGTGTCTGTGTGTGGAGGAGGTGTCTGTGGTGGTGTCTGTGGAGGTGTCTGTGGAGGAGGTGTCTGTGTGTGGAGGAGGTGTCTGTGTGTGGAGGAGGTGTCTGTGTGTGGAGGAGGTGTCTGTGGTGGTGTCTGTGGAGGTGTCTGTGGAGGAGGTGTCTGTGGAGGAGGTGTCTGTGGAGGAGGTGTCTGTGGAGGAGGTGTCTGTGTGTGGAGGAGGTGTCTGTGTGTGGAGGAGGTGTCTGTGTGTGGAGGAGGTGTCTGTGTGTGGAGGAGGTGTCTGTGGAGGAGGTGTCTGTGTGTGGAGGAGGTGTCTGTGGAGGAGGTGTCTGTGGTGGTGTCTGTGGAGGAGGTGTCTGTGTGTGGAGGAGGTGTCTGTGGAGGTGTCTGTGGAGGTGTCTGTGTGTGGAGGAGGTGTCTGTGGAGGTGTCTGTGTGTGGAGGAGGTGTCTGTGGAGGTGTCTGTGGAGGTGTCTGTGGAGGAGGTGTCTGTGGAGGTGTCTGTGGAGGTGTCTGTGGAGGTGTCTGTGTGTGGAGGAGGTGTCTGTGGAGGAGGTGTCTGTGTGTGGAGGAGGTGTCTGTGTGTGGAGGAGGTGTGTGGAGGGAGGTGTGTGTGGAGGAGGTGTCTGTGGAGGAGGTGTGTGTGTGTGGAGGAGGTGTGTGTGAAGGAGGTATCTGTGTGTGTGGAGGAGGTGTGTGTGAAGGAGGTGTCTGTGTGTGGAGGAGGTGTCTGTGTGTGGAGGAGGTGTCTGTGTGTGGAGGAGGTGTCTGTGTGTGGAGGAGGTGTCTGTGTGTGGAGGTGTCTGTGGAGGAGGTGTCTGTGTGTGGAGGAGGTGTCTGTGTGTGGAGGTGTCTGTGGAGGAGGTGTCTGTGGAGGAGGTGTCTGTGTGTGGAGGAGGTGTCTGTGTGTGGAGGAGGTGTGTGTGAAGGAGGTGTCTGTGTGTGGAGGAGGTGTGTGTGAAGGAGGTGTCTGTGTGTGGAGGAGGTGTCTGCGTGTGGAGGAGGTGTCTGTGTGTGGAGGAGGTGTCTGTGTGTGGAGGAGGTGTCTGTGTGTGGAGGAGGTGTCTGTGTGTGGAGGTGTCTGTGGAGGAGGTGTCTGTGTGTGGGAGGAGGTGTGTGTGAAGGAGGTGTCTGTGTGTGGAGGAGGTGTCTGTGTGTGGAGGAGGTGTCTGTGTGTGGAGGAGGTGTCTGTGTGTGGAGGAGGTGTCTGTGTGTGGAGGAGGTGTCTGTGTGTGGAGGAGGTGTCTGTGTGTGGAGGTGTCTGTGTGTGGAGGAGGTGTCTGTGTGTGGAGGAGGTGTCTGTGTGTGGAGGAGGTGTCTGTGTGTGGAGGTGTCTGTGTGTGGAGGAGGTGTGTGTGAAGGAGGTGTCTGTGTGTGGAGGAGGTGTCTGTGTGGAGGAGGTGTCTGTGTGTGGAGGAGGTGTCTGTGGAGGAGGTGTCTGTGTGTGGAGGAGGTGTGTGTGAAGGAGGTGTCTGTGTGTGGAGGAGGTGTCTGTGTGTGGAGGAGGTGTCTGTGTGTGGAGGAGGTGTCTGTGTGTGGAGGAGGTGTCTGTGTGTGGAGGAGGTGTCTGTGTGTGGAGGTGTCTGTGTGTGGAGGAGGTGTCTGTGTGTGGAGGAGGTGTCTGTGTGTGGAGGTGTCTGTGTGTGGAGGAGGTGTCTGTGTGTGGAGGAGGTGTCTGTGTGTGGAGGTGTCTGTGGAGGAGGTGTCTGTGTGTGGAGGAGGTGTCTGTGTGTGGAGGTGTCTGTGGAGGAGGTGTCTGTGTGTGGAGGAGGTGTCTGTGTGTGGAGGAGGTCTCTGTGTGTGGAGGAGGTGTCTGTGTGTGGAGGAGGTGTGTGTGAAGGAGGTGTCTGTGTGTGGAGGTGTCTGTGTGTGGAGGAGGTGTCTGTGTGTGGAGGAGGTGTCTGTGTGTGTGGGAGGTGTCTGTGTGTGGAGGTGTCTGTGGAGGAGGTGTCTGTGTGTGGAGGAGGTGTCTGTGTGTGGAGGTGTCTGTGGAGGAGGTGTCTGTGGAGGAGGTGTCTGTGTGTGGAGGAGGTGTCTGTGTGTGGAGGAGGTGTCTGTGTGTGGAGGAGGTGTCTGTGTGTGGAGGAGGTGTCTGTGTGTGGAGGAGGTGTGTGTGGAAGGAGGTGTCTGTGTGTGGAGGAGGTGTCTGTGTGTGGAGGTGTCTGTGGAGGAGTCTGTGTGTGGAGGAGGTGTCTGTGTGTGAAGGAGGTGTCTGTGTGTGGAGGAGGTGTCTGTGTGTGGAGGAGGTGTCTGTGGAGGAGGTGTGTGTGGAGGTGTCTGTGGAGGAGTCTGTGTGTGGAGGAGGTGTCTGTGTGTGGAGGAGGTGTCTGTGGAGGAGGTGTGTGTGGAGGTGTCTGTGTGTGGAGGAGGTGTCTGTGGAGGAGGTGTGTGTGAAGGAGGTGTCTGTGGAGGAGGTGTGTGTGGAGCAGGTGTCTGAGGAGGAGGTGTGTGTGGAGGTGTGTGGAGGAGGTGTCTGAGGAGGAGGTGTCTGTGGAGGTGTCTGTGGAGGTGTCTGTGGAGGAGGTGTGTGTGGAGGAGTTGTCTGTGGAGCAGGTGTCTGAGGAGGAGGTGTGTGTGGAGGTGTGTGGAGGAGGTGTCTGAGGAGGAGGTGTCTGTGGAGGAGGTGTTGGAGGAGGTGTCTGTGGAGGAGGTGTGTGTGGAGGAGTTGTCTGTGGAGCAGGTGTCTGAGGAGGAGGTGTGTGTGGAGGTGTGTGGAGGAGGTGTCTGAGGAGGAGGTGTTGGAGGAGGTGTCTGTGGAGGAGGTGTTGGAGGAGGTGTCTGTGGAGGAGGTGTGTGTGGAGGAGGTGTCTGAGGAGGTGTGTGTGGAGGAGGTGTCTGAGGAGGTGTGTGTGGAGGAGGTGTCTGAGGAGGAGGTGCCTGTGGAGATGTCTTAGGAGGTCTCTGAGGAGGAGGTCTCTGAGGAGGAGGTGTCTGAGGAGCAGGGGTTCTGAGGAGCAGGGGTTCTGAGGAGCAGGTGTCTGTGGAGGAGGTGTCTGTGGAGGTGTCCGAGGAGGAGGTGTCTGGAAATGTCTTCGGAGGAGGTGTCTGTGGAGGTGTGTGTGGAGGAGTTGCCTGTGGAGCAGGTGTCTGAGAAGGAGGTGTGTGGAGGAGGTGTCTGAGGAGGAGGAGGAGGTGTGTGTGGAGGAGGTGTTGGAGGAGGTGTCTGAGGAGGAGGAGGTGTGTGTGTGGAGGAGGTGTCTGAGGAGGAGGTGTGTGTGGAGGAGGTGTTGGAGGAGGTGTCTGAGGCTGAGTTTACACGGAGACAATGTGGCAGTAAAACGGTATAGTTGGATGTCGGTTGCTACCAAGCGTTCATACGGAGACTGTGTTCCAGGTGAAAACGTAAGTGTTCAGATCCAGCCTCAGAAACGCTGCACAGCGGGGGCTCTTTCACACCCGCGAGAGGGGAAAGGAGTGAAATGATCCCCCTCTGCTCTGACCCCCACCTCCTGCTGCTCTGACCCCCACCTCCTGCTGCTCTGACCCCCGCCTCCGCGCTGCTCTGACCCCCGCCTCCTGCTGCTCTGACCCCCACCTCCTGCTGCTCTGACCCCCGCCTCCGCGCTGCTCCCCGCACGTAAATTTGGACATGCGCAGTAGCGGAGAACAACCATCAACAACAATGGCGCTACCCACACAAACTAGCTACGTGGGCTTCCAGCGCGGGACAGAGGATAATTCTACTCCTTCGTTCGTCCAAACGAGACCACGCGAAGCTCTAGGTTCAGTTCCCATTTTCACAGCTGCTGTTAAAATGCAGAATGATGTTGGTACGTCCTGAGGGTCTGGCACAGGAAGTGAGTATACTGCCGAGGGGGGGGCTGGGCACGGGGCTCGGGGTCGTGTGTCGTGTTGTAAAGTTTCTCTGCCCCCTACTGGCCGGGCGCTAGAACTACATCGTTTTTCAACCTCATGTGAACGCTGAGAAATTTGCATTAGGAGCCTGGTCGTTTCTGTTAATAGCCTGGAAACGTCTGCGCAGCGTCTCAGTATAAACAGGGTCTGAGGAGGAGGAGGTGTGTGTGGAGGAGGTGTCTGAGGAGGAGGTGTCTGAGGAGGAGGAGGTGTGTGTGGAGGAGGTGTCTGAGGAGGAGGAGGTGTGTGTGGAGGAGGTGTCTGAGGAGGTGTGTGTGGAGGTGGTGTCTGAGGAGGAGGTGTGTGTGGAGGAGGTGTGTGTGGAGGAGGTGTCTGAGGAGGAGGAGGTGTCTGAGGAGGAGGAGGTGTGTGTGGAGGAGGTGTCTGAGGAGGAGGAGGTGTGTGTGGAGGAGGAGGAGGTGTGTGTGGAGGTGGTGTCTGAGGAGGAGGTGTGTGTGGAGGAGGTGTTGGAGGAGGTGTCTGAGGAGGAGGAGGTGTGTGTGGAGGAGGTGTCTGAGGAGGAGGTGTCTGAGGAGGAGGTGTCTGAGGAGGAGGAGGTGTGTGTGGAGGAGGTGTCTGAGGAGAAGGTGTGTGTGGAGGAGGTGTTGGAGGAGGTGTTCTCTGCAGTTTTAACACATCTGGTTTTACAGAAAACATAAAATCTTGTATTGTGTGGTTCCCAGCAGAGTCAGCAGAGGGCGCCACCTCCTCTGGCAGATGTGAAGGCACCTCCTCCTCTGGCCCCTCCTCCTCTGGCAGATGTGAAGGCACCTCCTCCTCTGGCCCCTCCTCCTCTGGCAGATGTGAGGGCACCTCCTCCTCTGGCCCCTCCTCCTCTGGCAGATGTGAGGAAGAGGAGGCAGAACCCAACGCTGAAGAGCTGCGGCGCAGACGACTGAGGAAACTGGAGACGACCGCTTTGCAGGATTAAAGGGACCTACAGATATTTACTCACAGGGACTTACAAATACTGACTCACAGGGACTTACAAATACTGACTCACAGGGACTTACAAATACTGGCTCACAGGGACTTACAAATACTGGCTCACAGGGACTTACAGATATTTACTCACAGGGACTTACAAATACTGACTCACAGGGACTTACAAATACTGACTCACAGGGACTTACAAATACTGACTCACAGGGACTTACAAATACTGACTCACAGGGACTTACAAATACTGGCTCACAGGGACTTACAGATATTTACTCACAGGAACTTACAAATACTGGCTCACAGGGACTTACAAATACTGACTCACAGGGACTTACAAATACTGACTCACAGGGACTTACAAATACTGGCTCACAGGGACTTACAGATATTTACTCACAGGAACTTACAAATACTGACTCACAGGGACTTACAAATACTGGCTCACAGGGACTTACAAATACTGGCTCACAGGAACTTACAAATACTGGCTCACAGGGACTTACAAATACTGGCTCACAGGAACTTACAAATACTGACTCACAGGGACTTACAAATACTGGCTCACAGGGACTTACAAATACTGACTCACAGGGACTTACAAATACTGACTCACAGGGACTTACAAATACTGGCTCACAGGGACTTAAAGATATTTACTCACAGGGACTTACAAATACTGACTCACGGGGATGTACAGATATTTACTCACAGGAACTTACAAATACTGACTCACAGGGACTTACAAATACTGACTCACAGGGACTTACAGATATTTACTAACAGGGACTTACAAATACTGACTCACAGGGACTTACAAATACTGGCTCACAGGGAGTTAGATATTTACTCACAGGGACTTACAAATACTGACTCACAGGGACGTACATATATTTACTCACAGGGACTTACAGATATTTACTCACAGGGACTTACAAATACTGACTCACAGGGACTTACAAATACTGGCTCACAGGGACTTACAAATACTGGCTCACAGGAACTTACAAATACTGGCTCACAGGGACTTACAAATACTGGCTCACAGGAACTTACAAATACTGACTCACAGGGACTTACAAATACTGGCTCACAGGGACTTACAAATACTGACTCACAGGAACTTACAAATACTGGCTCACAGGGACTTACAAATACTGGCTCACAGGGACTTACAAATACTGACTCACAGGAACTTACAAATACTGACTCACAGGGACTTACAAATACTGGCTCACAGGGACTTACAAATACTGACTCACAGGGACTTACAAATACTGGCTCACAGGGACTTACAAATACTGACTCACAGGGACTTACAAATACTGACTCACAGGGACTTACAAATACTGGCTCACAGGGACTTACAGATATTTACTCACAGGGACTTACAAATACTGACTCACAGGGACGTACAGATATTTACTCACAGGAACTTACAAATACTGACTCACAGGGACTTACAAATACTGACTCACAGGGACTTACAGATATTTACTAACAGGGACTTACAAATACTGACTCACAGGGACTTACAAATACTGGCTCACAGGGAGTTAGATATTTACTCACAGGGACTTACAAATACTGACTCACAGGGACGTACATATATTTACTCACAGGGACTTACAGATATTTACTCACAGGGACTTACAAATACTGACTCACAGGGACTTACAAATACTGGCTCACAGGGACTTACAAATACTGGCTCACAGGGACTTACAAATACTGGCTCACAGGGACTTACAAATACTGGCTCACAGGGACTTACAAATACTGACTCACAGGGACTTACAAATACTGACTCACAGGAACTTACAAATACTGGCTCACAGGGACTTACAAATACTGGCTCACAGGGACTTACAAATACTGACTCACAGGAACTTACAAATACTGGCTCACAGGGACTTACAAATACTGGCTCACAGGGACTTACAAATACTGACTCACAGGGACTTACAAATACTGGCTCACAGGGACTTACAAATACTGACTCACAGGGACTTACAAATACTGACTCACAGGGACTTACAAATACTGGCTCACAGGGACTTACAGATATTTACTCACAGGGACTTACAAATACTGACTCACAGGGACGTACAGATATTTACTCACAGGAACTTACAAATACTGACTCACAGGGACTTACAAATACTGACTCACAGGGACTTACAGATATTTACTAACAGGGACTTACAAATACTGACTCACAGGGACTTACAAATACTGGCTCACAGGGAGTTAGATATTTACTCACAGGGACTTACAAATACTGACTCACAGGGACGTACATATATTTACTCACAGGGACTTACAGATATTTACTCACAGGGACTTACAAATACTGACTCACAGGGACTTACATATATTTACTCACAGGGACTTACAGATATTTACTCACAGGGACTTACAAATACTTACTCACAGGGACTTACAGATATTTACTCACAGGGACTTACAAATACTGACTCACAGGGACTTACAGATATTTACCACAGGGACATACACGCAGGGACTAATGACACAGGGACATACTGACTCACAGGGACATAATGACTCGAGGACATACTGACTCACAGGGACATACTGACTCACAGGGACTTGCAGATATTTACTCACAGGGACATACTGACTCACAGGGACATAATGACTCACAGGGACATACTGACTCACAGGGACATACATGACTCACAGGGACTTACAGATATTTACTCACAGGGACTTACAAATACTTACTCACAGGGACTTACAGATATTTACTCACAGGGACATACTGACTCGCAGGGACATAATGACTCACAGGGACATACTGACTCACAGGGACATAATGACTCACAGGGACATAATGACTCACAGCGACATACTGACTCACAGGGACATACTGACTCACAGGGACATACTGACTCACAGGGACATAATGACTCACAGGGACATAATGACTCACAGGGACATAATGACTCACAGCGACATACTGACTCACAGGGACATACTGACTCACAGGGACTTGCAGATATTTACTCACAGGGACATACTGACTCACAGGGACATAATGACTCACAGGGACATACTGACTCACAGGGATCTTAAAGACAAAGAGGGGTTCTTTTGGATAACCTAGACTGATTACTTATGAGGCTAAAGTTACAGACCCCAGCTTTAAGTGACAGACATGAACTGAGCTGTCCTCTCATGGTCCCGTCCTGAAGCCACAGATGGATCCGGACTAGGACTAAGGCAGGACTCTGATCCAGACCGGACTCTGATCCAGACCGGACTCTCACTGTCAGATCATTTTGTTTGTATAATAATTCTTGCTCTACTCCTGGCCCAGACCTGGCCCAGACCTGGCCCAGACCTGGCCCAGACCTGGCCCAGACCTGGCCCAGACCTGGCCCAGACCTGGCCCAGACCTGGCTCAGACCCGGTTTCTCTTGTGTTTCTTCTGGTGATTGGCTGTAGACCCAGAGTCCTCTGATCTGATTGGCTGTAGACCCAGAGTCCTCTGATCTGATTGGCTGTAGACCCAGAGTCCTCTGATCTGATTGGCTGTAGACCCAGAGTCCTCTGATCTGATTGGCTGTAGACCCAGAGTCCTCTGATCTGATTGGCTGTAGACCCAGAGTCCTCTGATCTGATTGGCTGTAGACCCAGAGTCCTCTGATCTGATTGGCTGTACATACTGTATAAAGAGTTTTATTACATCTGTACATACGAGAATAAAGTTTGGCTCAAAACAGACTTCATCGTTTTTACTTCGTTTTGTACCTATGTACCCCCCCTGTACCTATGTACCCCCCCAGTAATGTACCCCCCAGTACCTATGTACCCCCAGTACCTATGCACCCCCCCCTGTACCCCCCCAGTACCTATGTACCCCCCAGAACCTATGCACCCCCCCTGTACCCCCCCAGTACCTATGTACCCCCCAGAACCTATGCACCCCCCCAGTACCTATGAACCCCCCCTGTTCCTATGTACCCCCCCAGTACCTATGCACCCCCCCTGTACCTATGTACCCCCCCTGTACCTATGTACCCCCCTGTACCTATGTATGGCCCTGTGACCCAGAACCCAGAACACCCCCCTGTGGAGCCCCTCTGACCTGCAGCTGACGGCAATGCTGACGGTACTCGCCCCACACTCTCTCTCTGTCTCTCTCTCTCTGAGTCTCAGAGTCTCTCAGAGTCTCTCTCTCGCTCAGTCTCTCTCTCTTTGAGTCTCTCTCTCTCTCTCTCTCAGTCTCGCTCAGAGTCTCTCAGAGTCTCTCTCTCTCTCTCTCCCAGAGTCTCTCTCTCTGAGTCTCTCTCAGAGTCTCTCTCAGAGTATCTCTCTCTCTGAGTCTCCCAGAGTCTCTCTCTCTGAGTCTCTCTCAGAGTCTCTCTCTCTCTCAGAGTCTCCCAGAGTCTCTCTCTCTGAGTCTCTCTCAGAGTCTCTCTCTCTCTCAGAGTCTCCCAGAGTCTCTCTCTGAGTCTCTCTCAGAGTCTCTCTCTCTCCCAGAGTCTCTCTCTCTGAGTCTCTCTCTCTCTGAGTCTCTCTCAGAGTCTCTCTCAGAGTATCTCTGACTCTCTCTGAGTCTCTCTCAGAGTCTCTCTCTCTGAGTCTCTCTCTCTGAGTCTCTCTCTCTCTCAGGGTCAGTTGCTGTGGCAGAAGCTGAAGAGTCTTGGTTCTAAAGCTGTGACTCTGCGTCTCTTTGTGAACGAGGAGAACGAGGACCAGGAGGAGCTGAGGAGGAGAGGTACATGTTACAGACCCCAGCTTTAAAGTCACAGACCCCAGCTTTAAAGTCACAGACCCCAGCTTTAGAGTCACAGACCCAGCTTTAAAGTCACAGACCCAGCTTTAAAGTCACAGACCCAGCTTTAAAGTCACAGACCCCAGCTTTAAAGTCACAGACCCCAGCTTTAAAGTCACAGACCCCAGCTTTAAAGTCACAGACCCAGCTTTAAAGTCACAGACCCAGCTTTAAAGTCACAGACCCAGCTTTAAAGTCACAGACCCCAGCTTTAAAGTCACAGACCCAGCTTTAAAGTCACAGACCCAGCTTTAAAGTCACAGACCCCAGCTTTAAAGTCACAGACCCCAGCTTTAAAGTCACAGACCCCAGCTTTAAAGTCACAGACCCAGCTTTAAAGTCACAGACCCAGCTTTAAAGTCACAGACCCCAGCTTTAAAGTCACAGACCCAGCTTTAAAGTCACAGACCCAGCTTTAAAGTCACAGACCCAGCTTTAAAGTCACAGACCCAGCTTTAGAGTCACAGACCCCAGCTTTAAAGTCACAGACCCAGCTTTAGAGTCACAGACCCAGCTTTAAAGTCACAGACCCAGCTTTAAAGTCACAGACCCAGCTTTAAAGTCACAGACCCAGCTTTAAAGTCACAGACCCAGCTTTAGAGTCACAGACCCCAGCTTTAGAGTCACAGACCCAGCTTTAAAGTCACAGACCCCAGCTTTAAAGTCACAGACCCCAGCTTTAAAGTCACAGACCCCAGCTTTAAAGTCACAGACCCAGCTTTAAGTCACAGACCCAGCTTTAAAGTCACAGACCCCAGCTTTAAAGTCACAGACCCAGCTTTAAAGTCACAGACCCAGCTTTAAAGTCACAGACCCAGCTTTAAAGTCACAGACCCAGCTTTAAAGTCACAGACCCAGCTTTAAAGTCACAGACCCAGCTTTAAGTCACAGACCCAGCTTTAAAGTCACAGACCCAGCTTTAAAGTCACAGACCCAGCTTTAAAGTCACAGACCCAGCTTTAAAGTCACAGACCCAGCTTTAGAGTCACAGACCCCAGCTTTAGAGTCACAGACCCAGCTTTAAAGTCACAGACCCAGCTTTAGAGTCACAGACCCAGCTTTAAAGTCACAGACCCCAGCTTTAAAGTCACAGACCCAGCTTTAGAGTCATAGACCCAGCTTTAAAGTCACAGACCCAGCTTTAGAGTCACAGACCCAGCTTTAAAGTCACAGACCCAGCTTTAAAGTCACAGACCCAGCTTTAAAGTCACAGACCCAGCTTTAAAGTCACAGACCCAGCTTTAGAGTCACAGACCCAGCTTTAAAGTCACAGACCCAGCTTTAAAGTCACAGACCCAGCTTTAAACTCACAGACCCAGCTTTAGAGTCACAGACCCAGCTTTAAAGTCACAGACCCAGCTTTAGAGTCACAGACCCAGCTTTAAAGTCACAGACCCCAGCTTTAGAGTCACAGACCCAGCTTTAAAGTCACAGACCCAGCTTTAAAGTCACAGACCCAGCTTTAAAGTCACAGACCCCAGCTTTAAAGTCACAGACCCCAGCTTTAGAGTCACAGACCCCAGCTTTAAACTCACAGACCCAGCTTTAAACTCACAGACCCCAGCTTTAAACTCACAGACCCAGCTTTAAACTCACAGACCCAGCTTTAAAGTCACAGACCCCAGCTTTAAACTCACAGACCCAGCTTTAAAGTCACAGACCCCAGCTTTAAACTCACAGACCCAGCTTTAAAGTCACAGACCCAGCTTTAAACTCACAGACCCAGCTTTAAAGTCACAGACCCAGCTTTAGAGTCACAGACCCAGCTTTAAAGTCACAGACCCAGCTTTAAAGTCACAGACCCAGCTTTAAAGTCACAGACCCAGCTTTAGAGTCACAGACCCAGCTTTAAAGTCACAGACCCAGCTTTAAAGTCACAGACCCAGCTTTAAAGTCACAGACCCAGCTTTAAAGTCACAGACCCAGCTTTAAACTCACAGACCCCAGCTTTAAACTCACAGACCCCAGCTTTAAACTCACAGACCCCAGCTTTAAACTCACAGACCCAGCTTTAAACTCACAGACCCAGCTTTAAAGTCACAGACCCAGCTTTAAAGTCACAGACTATCAAATGCACCAGCCACTTTTCAAAGACTGATGCATTCCTGTTTGGGAGAGCAGAACCTCCAGTCCTTATTAATATATTTGGACGATGTAGTGGTGTTTTCTCCAAATTTTGACGCCCACTTAAAGCATCTTGATTTTGTTTTTTAAAAACTGTCCAAACACGGCCTAAAATTGAAATCTAACAAATGCCATCTTTTGAAAGACGAAGTTCAATATTTGGGCCATAGAGTCTCAGCAGGTGGAGTCTCTCCTGACCCTGATAAAGTTAAATGCATTGAGGACTGGCTGACACCAAAGACAGTTAAACAGCTACAATCCTTTTTGGGTCTTGCAGGGTATTATCGCAGGTTTGTGAAGGACTTTTCAAAAATTGCACAACCTCTAAATCAAATGTTGGTAGGCGCTTCTCCCAATTCAAAGAGTGTTGATGGCAGTTTCTCAGCTAAATGGAACCCTACCTGTGCCAAAGCATTCGACACTCTAAAAACAGCACTAACATCCGCGCCCCTACTGGCCTTTGCTGATTTTAATCTTCCCTTTATTCTGTATACGGATGCTAGCCACTTGGGTCTAGGTGCAGTTCTTGCCCAAGTCCAGCAGGGTAAAGAGAGGGTGATAGCCTTTGCAAGTAGAAGCCTTAGCCCAAGTGAGAAAAATGATGAAAATTAACATTCTTTCAAGCTTGAATACCTGGCCTTGACCTGGGCAGTGACCAAAAAGTTTGCCGAGTATTTGCATTGTGCCCCATTTACTGTGTACACTGATAATAACCCACTGGTACACTTGAACTCGGCTAAGCTTGGCAGTCTGGAACAAAGATGGGCTGCACGCCTGGCCAGCTTTCAATTCGAAATCAAATACAAACCAGGACGTACTAATCAGAGTGCAGATGCTCTATCCCGCTTTCCACCAGGTGTTGCTGTCGGTGAAGCTATGGATGATGGTGAGGGAGTAGAGATCCCATCCTTCGGACACGTGAGCACTTGTGTGGCCAGAGCTATGTGCGGGACTGCCAGGGAGGTGTGCCAACCCAGGCCTTCACAGACACTACCAGGTACCTCCCTTTATCCAGAGCGTACCAGAACTCAGTGGGCTGAACTCCAGAATAATGACTGGACCCTAAGAAGACTATCTGAGTATGTGCGGAGGCAATACAGGCCCAACCCACAAGAGAGGCAAAAGGAATCAAAATCTGTTCTAACACTTTTGAAAAACTGGGACAGGCTTCTACTAATCGATGGGGTGCTGCACCGCAAAAGATGGGACCCCAAGGAAGTTGACCCTGTGCTACAGCTCCTTGTTCCCGTGGGTGAGCAACACAATGTTTTTAGGATGTACCATGACCAGGCTGGCCACTGGGGTCCAGAAAAGACTATTTCATTGATCCAAAGGAGATTTTACTGGACCAATTTGAGTGACACTATTGCCAAATGGTGTTCGCAATGTCAAAATTGTGTATTGCGGAAAACTCCTGCTTCTACCCGTGCGCCGCTGATTCCAATTAGAACCTCTGCCCCAATGGAACTTTTGTCTGCAGACTTTTTGTCCATAGGTCACCCAGAGGACCCGTATCATAACGTCCTAGTCATGGTGGACCATTTCACAAAGTTTGCCTGGGCGTCGGCTACAAGGGATCAAACTGCACTCACGACAGCGAAAGTTCTTTGGAACCAGGTAATCCAACCCTTTGGGGTGCCTAAGAGACTAATGTCAGATCAAGGACCTAATTTTGAATCAAAACTAGTGCATGAACTATGTGAACTGTATGGAATACAAAAAGATCATACAACTCCATATCATCCAGCAGGAAATGGAGCGTGTGAGAGGCTTAATCGTACTCTTTTAGGGTTACTGGGCACCTTGGGGGAGGAGAGGAGGAACTGGCGTGACCACCTGCCTGAGATGATCCAGGTATATAATAACACTGCACACAGTTCAACTGGATATTCACCGCAGACAGTGTAGTTTGCGATTCTGTGGATAGCTGGGTGAAGTGTCATCAGAGGCGGCTGCAATATGCCTTCACCAAAGCAAGTCAAGTGAATGACACTGAAATGGCCCGACAAAAACGCCACTATGACTATAAGACACAAGAATCTGCACTTGCCCCAGGGGACCGGGTGTTGCTCCAGGACATGAGAGCAAAGGACCGGGGTAAACTAGCTGATAGGTGGGAACCCCAGCCCTATGTCGTCATTAAGCGACCCAACGCAGAGCTCCCAGTGTATGTGATTTGGCAAGAGACAACTAAAAGAGAAAAAGTAGTTCATCGTAACTTACTCAGAGTGTGCCCTTTGCCTCCATCTACATTAACAAGAGATGGTCAAACTATTGAACCCCCCACTTCATCGGAAGATGGCCGAAGAGACTCTCTATTCCACGGCTGGGTGGGGTTCTGGCCAGATCCTACTCTTCACGACCCTGCACCTGCTTCACAAAATTCTCCGGTTCTTGGGGGTGCTGCTGGCTGTGATGGTGACCCGGAACCAAGGCGCTCGATGCGGCCTACGAAAGGCCTGCCTCCAAGACGGTTCCAGACCTAGCACCATGGAGAGCGGTCGTTGGGACAACGAACCTTTTAACAGGGAGGGGTGTAACAGGGTACAAGTATCATCACTTCACTGCCACTTTGAGTTTGGGTGTGGTTTTCTTTCCTGTGTTTCCTTGTTTGGTGTGGGCCAATGGCCATGTTTTCTAATTAGTTGGCAGCTGTGGTGGGTTGTACTTCCCCTTTAAATTATCAGCTTTATATTCCTCACGCTACTATTTTTCAAGTTTATTTACATAAACGTCTGGAGATAACTATTGTGGCCTTAATATTAGAGGGAGTATATATGATAAGACAAATTCATTTGGTAAATTTCAGGAATTTAGTTTTAAGATTGTGCTGGGTTAAAAACTGCCTCCTCCCCTCACACCGCGCTCTGTCGCGGGTTGATGACGCAGACCTGGTTGTTTACATGGCGGCCGTCTTTGCTGCTGATGAAAATACTATAACATAAAATGCGTGTTTTGTAGCTGCACATTTCGTCACGACGTCACTTCAACAAACGGTTTTCTGAGATGACGAACAGGACCTCGTACTTTTACGACCCGGACGTGGGGAACTTTCATTACGGTGAGTTTGAATCAGAGCCGTGCTAACGAGGCTAACGGCTAACGAGGCTAACGGCTAACGGCTAACGAGGCTAACGGCTAACACCAGGGCTGAAGGAGCTGCTGCCGTGAGCTGTCTGCATCTGTGCTTTGTTCTCCCTGGTGTTTATGGTGTCACCACTGGTCTGTGAAGAAGAGAGTCACGTGCCGCCTCGGTCTATGGTACAGATGCAGTCTATGGTACAGATGCAGTCTATGGTATAGATGCAGTCTATGGTATAGATGCAGTCTATGGTACAGATGCAGTCTATGGTATAGAAGCAGTCTATGGTATAGAAGCAGTCTATGGTACAGATGCAGTCTATGGTATAGATGCAGTCTATGGTATAGATGCAGTCTATGGTATAGATGTAGTCTATGGTACAGATGCAGTCTATGGTACAGATGCAGTCTATGGTATAGATGCAGTCTATGGTATAGATGCAGTCTATGGTACAGATGCAGTCTATGGTATAGATGCAGTCTATGGTATAGATGCAGTCTATGGTACAGATGCAGTCTATGGTACAGATGCAGTCTATGGTACAGATGCAGTCTATGGTATAGATGCAGTCTATGGTATAGATGCAGTCTATGGTACAGATGCAGTCTATGGTATAGATGCAGTCTATGGTATAGATGTAGTCTATGGTATAGATGTAGTCTATGGTACAGATGCAGTCTATGGTATAGATGCAGTCTATGGTATAGATGTAGTCTATGGTACAGATGCAGTCTATGGTACAGATGCAGTCTATGGTATAGATGCAGTCTATGGTACAGATGCAGTCTATGGTATAGAAGCAGTCTATGGTATAGATGCAGTCTATGGTATAGATGCAGTCTATGGTATAGATGTAGTCTATGGTATAGATGCAGTCTATGGTACAGATGCAGTCTATGGTATAGAAGCAGTCTATGGTATAGATGCAGTCTATGGTATAGATGCAGTCTATGGTATAGATGCAGTCTATGGTATAGATGCAGTCTATGGTACAGATGCAGTCTATATGGTACAGATGCAGTCTATGGTATAGAAGCAGTCTATGGTATAGATGCAGCCTATGGTATAGATGCAGTCTATGGTATAGATGCAGTCTATGGTATAGATGTAGTCTATGGTACAGAAGCAGTCTATGGTATAGATGTAGTCTATGGTACAGATGCCGTCTATGGTACAGATGCCGTCTATGGTATAGATGCAGTCTATGGTATAGATGCAGTCTATGGTATAGATGCAGTCTATGGTATAGATGCAGTCTATGGTATAGATGCAGTCTATATGGTACAGATGTAGTCTATGGTACAGAAGCAGTCTATGGTATAGAAGCAGTCTATGGTATAGATGCAGCCTATGGTATAGATGCAGTCTATGGTATAGATGCAGTCTATGGTATAGATGTAGTCTATGGTACAGAAGCAGTCTATGGTATAGATGTAGTCTATGGTACAGATGCCGTCTATGGTATAGATGCAGTCTATGGTATAGATGCAGTCTATGGTATAGATGCAGTCTATGGTATAGATGTAGTCTATGGTATAGATGCAGTCTATGGTACAGATGCAGTCTATATGGTACAGATGCAGTCTATGGTATAGAAGCAGTCTATGGTATAGATGCAGCCTATGGTATAGATGCAGTCTATGGTATAGATGCAGTCTATGGTATAGATGTAGTCTATGGTACAGAAGCAGTCTATGGTATAGATGTAGTCTATGGTACAGATGCCGTCTATGGTATAGATGCAGTCTATGGTATAGATGTAGTCTATGGTACAGAAGCAGTCTATGGTACAGAAGCAGTCTATGGTACAGAAGCAGTCTATGGTACAGAAGCAGTCTATGGTACAGAAGCAGTCTATGGTACAGAAGCAGTCTATGGTACAGAAGCAGTCTATGGTACAGAAGCAGTCTATGGTACAGATGCCGTCTATGGTACAGATGCAGTCTATGGTATAGATGCAGCCTATGGTACAGATGCAGCCTATGGTACAGATGCAGCCTATGGTACAGATGCAGCCTATGGTACAGATGCAGTCTATGGTACAGATGCAGTCTATGGTACAGATGCAGTCTATGGTATAGAAGCAGTCTATGGTATAGAATCAGTCTATGGTACAGATGCAGCCTATGGTACAGATGCAGTCTATGGTACAGATGCAGTCTATGGTATAGATGCAGTCTATGGTACATATGCAGTCTATGGTATAGATGCAGTCTATGGTATAGATGCAGTCTATGGTACAGATGCAGTCTATGGTATAGAAGCAGTCTATGGTTCAGCTGCAGACTATGGTTCAGCTGCAGTCTATGGTACAGATGCAGTCTATGGTACAGATGCAGTCTATGGTACAGATGCAGTCTATGGTATAGAAGCAGTCTATGGTATAGAATCAGTCTATGGTACAGATGCAGCCTATGGTACAGATGCAGTCTATGGTACAGATGCAGTCTATGGTATAGATGCAGTCTATGGTACATATGCAGTCTATGGTATAGATGCAGTCTATGGTACAGATGCAGTCTATGGTTCAGCTGCAGACTATGGTACAGATGCAGTCTATGGTACAGATGCAGTCTATGGTTCAGCTGCAGTCTATGGTATAGATGCAGTCTATGGTACAGATGCAGTCTATGGCATAGAAGCAGTCTATGGTATAGATGCAGTCTATGGTATAGATGCAGTCTATGGTATAGATGCAGTCTATGGTATAGATGCAGTCTATGGTATAGAAGCAGTCTATGGTACAGATGCAGTCTATGGTACAGATGCAGTCTATGGCATAGAAGCAGTCTATGGTATAGATGCAGTCTATGGTACAGATGCAGTCTATGGTATAGAAGCAGTCTATGGTACAGATGCAGTCTATGGTACAGATGCAGTCTATGGTACAGATGCAGTCTATGGTACAGATGCAGTCTATGGTACAGATGCAGTCTATGGTATAGATGCAGTCTATGGTATTAGGCCTGTCACGATAACAAATTTTGCTGGACGATTAATTGTCTCAGAAATTATTGCGATAAGCGATTATATTGGCGTTCTGAGATCATTTGCATCGATTACAATGATCATGCAGGTACACCTTTTCAAAGAGAAATAAACTTTTATTTTTAACGAATATTTAACGCTAGAACACAATAAATTTACAAACAACCAAAAACAATAAATAAAATACTCAAGTCTCTTAACAAAAAATGACCAGGAATAAAACTGCCTGGACCTTTGTAAAGAAAATATGAAACAGATGCCTCAAATGTCAATAATTTCTCAGACTTTATGGCAGATTACGAGAAAGAAATACCAACATGTTGACTTTGTGTGGCTTAAGACAGGATCTCTCAGGAGTAGTCCCACCTCCCCACACACCACCAGGCGAATGACAAGTGACTGACATGTGGGTTCACCAATGGGGCGTACAGAAGTCCTGCTGCGGTAGCGCCCACCGGAAGTAGCGGGGCGGGCTTTGATGCTAACAGCTAAGCTAGCGGGTTTTTTGTGTAAAGTTCTACTCCAAGAATGCAAGTCTGCAGCATCTCTGTGTTTCAGAGACCTTCTAGAGACTTTATATAACAGCAGTATGTGTTCACGGAGGTGCGCCATAAGTTTATTTTATTGGTATGGTACGGTACTTCTGCATCGGCGAACGCGCTAACGCTAGCTGCGCTAGTATAGTCACTAATCAAGCCTGAATGAGAACTCAGCTGCCGGCATATGTTCACAACTACTGTGTCCCCCATTGTCAATCCTGGTTAAGTCCTGGTTTAGGTCCTGTTTTGGCTGTATTTTGTATTTTTGAGTAATTTCCGTCTGCTTGCTAGACCGCTAATGTTCCCGTGACCACTTTGCGGCTCTCTGACCCGAGAGAGACGGGGAAACAAACAAGCAAATGGGATTTATCGCGGCCAGAAAAGTTATTGAGCAAATTTTATTTATCGTGCAATTAATTGATTTATTGACTATCGCGACAGGCCTATATGGTATAGATGCAGTCTATGGTACAGCTGCAGTCTATGGTATAGATGCAGTCTATGGTACAGCTGTAGTCTATGGTATAGATGCAGTCTATGGTATAGATGTAGTCTATGGTATAGATGCAGTCTATGGTATAGATGCAGTCTATGGTATAGAAGCAGTCTATGGTACAGATGCCGTCTATGGTACAGAAGCAGTCTATGGTATAGATGCAGTCTATGGTATAGATGCAGTCTATGGTATAGATGCAGTCTATGGTATAGATGCAGTCTATGGTACAGATGCAGTCTATGGTATAGAAGCAGTCTATGGTACAGATGCAGTCTATGGTATAGATGCAGTCTATGGTACAGATGTAGTCTATGGTATAGATGCAGTCTATGGTACAGATGCAGTCTATGGTATAGAAGCAGTCTATGGTACAGATGCAGTCTATGGTATAGAAGCAGTCTATGGTATAGATGCAGTCTATGGTATAGATGCAGTCTATGGTACAGATGCAGTCTATGGTATAGAAGCAGTCTATGGTACAGATGCCGTCTATGGTATAGATGCAGTCTATGGTATAGATGTAGTCTATGGTATAGATGTAGTCTATGGTATAGATGCAGTCTATGGTATAGATGCAGTCTATGGTATAGATGCAGTCTATGGTATAGATGCAGTCTATGGTATAGATGCAGTCTATGGTATAGATGCAGTCTATGGTATAGATGCAGTCTATGGTATAGATGCAGTCTATGGTACAGATGCAGTCTATGGTATAGAAGCAGTCTATGGTACAGATGCAGTCTATGGTATAGATGCAGTCTATGGTACAGATGTAGTCTATGGTATAGATGCAGTCTATGGTACAGATGCAGTCTATGGTATAGAAGCAGTCTATGGTACAGATGCAGTCTATGGTATAGAAGCAGTCTATGGTATAGATGCAGTCTATGGTATAGATGCAGTCTATGGTATAGATGCAGTCTATGGTATAGATGCAGTCTATGGTATAGATGCAGTCTATGGTATAGATGCAGTCTATGGTATAGATGCAGTCTATGGTACAGAAGCAGTCTATGGTATAGATGCAGTCTATGGTACAGATGCCGTCTATGGTACAGAAGCAGTCTATGGTACAGATGCAGTCTATGGTATAGATGCAGTCTATGGTACAGATGCAGTCTATGGTATAGAAGCAGTCTATGGTATAGAAGCAGTCTATGGTACAGATGCAGTCTATGGTACAGATGCAGTCTATGGTATAGATGCAGTCTATGGTATAGATGCAGTCTATGGTACAGATGCAGTCTATGGTATAGAAGCAGTCTATGGTATAGAAGCAGTCTATGGTATAGATGCCGTCTATGGTACAGATGCAGTCTATGGTATAGAAGCAGTCTATGGTATAGAAGCAGTCTATGGTACAGATGCCGTCTATGGTACAGAAGCAGTCTATGGTATAGATGCAGTCTATGGTATAGATGCAGTCTATGGTACAGATGCAGTCTATGGTACAGATGCCGTCTATGGTATAGATGCAGTCTATGGTACAGATGCCGTCTATGGTATAGATGCAGTCTATATGGTACAGATGCAGTCTATGGTACAGAAGCAGTCTATGCAGTTTTCCGCAGGAGCACAGGTTTCCATATGTTTCCATGACAACACACCAGGACACCGGGCTCTTCACGCTCTCTCATGACTCTGAGAGCCTTCTGTTCAGTTAGGGCTGGGCAATATAAACGGTATAAGCGGTATGCGATATGAATTTGGCCCACGGTAGAGATTTTAGTTATACCGGCATATTGCAATAGGTCATTATGTCATCAGATTGTGCAGGCTCTGACGTCAGCAGAAAGGACCAAAACAAACCTAGTTTATACTCGCGCGGAGCTATAAACACTTATGTCATCAGATTGTGCAGGCTCTGACGTCAGCAGAAAGGACCAAAACAAACCTAGTTTATACTCGCGCGGAGCTATAAACACTTATGTCATCAGATTGTGCAGGCTCTGACGTCAGCAGAAAGGACCAAAACAAACCTAGTTTATACTCGCGCGGAGCTATAAACACTTATGTCATCAGATTGTGCAGGCTCTGACGTCAGCAGAAAGGACCAAAACAAACCGGCATTCAGCAGCATTAAGCCTAGTTTATACTGGCACGGAGCTTACGGAGGTGACGTGACGTCACTTGCGCAACGCGTTGGTCACCGCAAGGCCCTTACGTCGCCTGCCGCGCAGCATCGAAATGTTCTAACTACGTAAGGGTCGCCGCAAGGAAGCTCCGCTGTGATTGGTCCGTGAGTGTTTATTGGAAGGAAGCACGGAGCGGCTGCAGCAGGAGCATGGACGAGGCACTATGGAGCAGTATATATAACTTATATCTAACATATATATAACTTATATCTAACATATATATAACTTATATCTAACATATATATAACTTATATCTAACATATATATAAGTTATATCTAACATATATATAACTTATATCTAACATATATATAACTTATATCTAACATATATATAACTTATATCTAACATATATATAACTTATATCTAACATATATATAACTTATATCTAACATGTATATAACTTATATCTAACATGTATATAACTTATATCTAACATGTGTATATATATCTAACATGTATATAACTTATATCTAACATGTATATAACTTATATCTAACATGTGTATAACTTATCTAACATATATATAACTTATATCTAACATATATATAACTTATATCTAACATATATATAACTTATATCTAACATATATAAACTTATATCTAACATGTATATAACTTATATCTAACATGTATATAACTTATATCTAACATGTATATAACTTATATCTAACATGTATATAACTTATATCTAACATGTATATAACTTATATCTAACATGTATATAACTTATATCTAACATATATATATAACATATATATAACTTATATCTAACATATATATAACTTATATCTAACTTATATCTAACTTATATCTAACATATATATAACTTATATCTAACTTATATATAACTTATATCTAACTTATATATAACTTATATCTAACATATATATAACTTATATCTAACATATATATAACTTATATCTAACATATATATAACTTATATCTAACATATATATAACTTATATCTAACATATATATAACTTATATCTAACATATATATAACTTATATCTAACATGTATATAACTTATATCTAACATATATATAACTTATATCTAACATATATATAACTTATATCTAACATATATATAACTTATATCTAACATATATATAACTTATATCTAACATATATATCACTTATATCTAACATATATATCACTTATATCTAACATATATATATAACTTATATCTAACATATATATATACTTATATCTAACATATATATAACTTATATCTAACATATATACACTCGTAAATCGTTCATGTTTGTCTCAGATATTTACCACTATTATTGTTTTGCCGTTTGTGCTGAAAACTATTTAATAATAACTATGTTTCCAACAGAACTGTGTTTATTCACAGCATCACAGTTGAAATGACTTATAAAATAATGAATCCATAAAACTATCACATAAACCTACAGTAGAAACACGTGTAATGAGCTCAAACAGCTTTGTTTGTTATTGTTGTTCTGAAGAGGACAAAGTAGCAGCGTAAATGGGACCGCTCCTGTGTGATCGCCCTCATGTGGTTTGTTGTGTGGGATTACAACATTCTCCTCAAAACTCCGTAAGGGGAACGCGCCAGTATAACATCAATTGTGCTTACGTAGGTCCACCGCAACCGCTAACGTAAGCCACGCCGCGCAAGTATACTCTAGGCTTTAGCCTAGCGCATTAGCCTAGCATTAGCCTAGCACTATTGGACACCACTGGAAACAGCGAACAACAGCACGGCATTAACACTGTGTTTCTGTCTCTGTATTGTTGTCACAGCGGCCCCAGCAGAGGTAAATACACACACAGTAATCACAGTTTAAGCATCTACCTTTTGGCCAATCAGTGTCAAAGGGGCGTAGGCTCGAAGCGCCAGCGTGAGCCAAAATAGATCCATGTGCCGTGTCCGCAGCATCACAGCAGAAGTTTGGGAAAGTTAGCTTCAGATTCGGACCTCCGCGGTCAATATCTCACGAAAGCTACTTTGTTAAACAAAATTAATTGTGCTGTTTTAATGAACATAAATCCATTGAATCATCCAGTTCACTGCAAGCGCAGAGAAAAGCACTTAGGGAGCGTCAACAAATGTAAACGAACAATAGCTTTTACTGAAGTCATGTACCTGCACAAAACTCTCAGACACTATAAATAATGACCATGTCTAACTCCTACAGACTTTGATTTCAACATTTGTGAATTTTTTATATTTTAAATGAATGCATATATTTTTCTTTAAAAAAAATGCTTTTACAGTGAATGGTATTTACTGTAACTACATAAATAATGTATGTTACAACATTTGTCTCTTCATTTGTCTCACAACTGATTTTCTAACTCAAAAAATATATATACTAGATTATAATATATAAATAAGTAACAATCTTGACTATTTTATGCAAGAACCTGCTAGACCTACATTGAAATTCACACCAAATTATACCGCAATATGAATTTTAGGCCATATCGCCCCCACCCCTACTCCCAGTGCAGGTCTGTGTGTACCAGAAAGAGCTGTGTATAATGAAGTACCATGTGTTGCAGGTGCTGGTCACCCCATGAAGCCTCATCGTCTGTCCCTCACACACAGCCTGGTCCTACACTATGGTCTCTACAAGAAAATGATGGTAAGACCAGAGAGAGAGACCAGAGAGAGAGACCAGAGAGAGACCAGAGAGAGACCAGAGAGAGAGACCAGAGAGAGACCAGAGAGAGACCAGAGAGAGACCAGAGAGAGAGACCAGAGAGAGAGACCAGAGAGAGACCAGAGAGAGAGACCAGAGAGAGAGACCAGAGAGAGAGACCAGAGAGAGAGACCAGAGAGAGACCAGAGAGAGAGACCAGAGAGAGAGACCAGAGAGAGACCAGAGAGAGACCAGAGAGAGACCAGAGAGAGAGACCAGAGAGAGAGACCAGAGAGAGAGACCAGAGAGAGAGACCAGAGAGAGAGACCAGAGAGAGAGACCAGAGAGAGAGACCAGAGAGAGAGACCAGAGAGAGAGACCAGAGAGAGAGACCAGAGAGAGAGACCAGAGAGAGAGACCAGAGAGAGAGACCAGAGAGAGAGACCAGAGAGAGAGACCAGAGAGAGAGACCAGAGAGAGAGACCAGAGAGAGAGACCAGAGAGAGAGACCAGAGAGAGAGACCAGAGAGAGACACCAGAGAGAGACACCAGAGAGAGACACCAGAGAGAGAGAGACCAGAGAGAGACCAGTCAGAGAGAGACAGTGAGAGAGAGACCAGCAGTGTTGGGCACATTACTTTGAAAAAGTAATTAGTTATAGTTACTAGTTACTTCTCCCAAAAAGTAACTGAGTTACTAACGGAGTTACTCCACTGTAAAAGTAACTATTGCTATTGCGTTCTGGAACATAATGTGCACTCGAGGTGCACATGTTGACCTTTAACCTCAGTGAGTTTAAATAGTGCCAATATTTCCATCTAGAAAAGTGTGTTTTTCTGCTGAAGTCCTGTTCAGTCTCCATCTGTCTCTGTGTAAGCAGATATACATATATATACATATATATATATATATATATATATATCATCAGTCATCTCTCTCTGTGTAAGCACTAAACACCAACACACTCCACTGTGAATGTGGAAACACCAAGCACTGACTTCAGACCAATCAGATGAACATATCATATACAGTGGGGTAAAAAAGTATTTAGTCAGCCTCTGATTGTACAAGTTCTCCCACTTAAAATAATGACAGAGGTCTGTAGTGTTCATCATAGGTTCACTTCAACTGTGAGAGACAGAATGTGAAAAAAAAAATCCAGGAATTCACATTGTAGGATTTTTAAAGAATTTATTTGTAAATTATGGTGGAAAATAAGTATTTGGTCAATAACAAAAATTCAGCTCAATGGAAGGAGGTTTTGGCTCAAAATCTCACAAGACCTGGCCCCATTCATTCTTTCCTTAACACAGATCAGTCGTCCTGTCCTCTTAGCAGAAAAACAGCCCCAAAGCATGACGTTTCCACCCCCATGGGAATAACGCCGTTATTCCCATCACTGGAGACCATAGAGAGACACCAGAGAGAGAGACACCAGAGAGAGAGACACCAGAGAGAGAGACACCAGAGAGAGAGACACCAGAGAGGGAGACACCAGAGAGAGAGACGCCAGAGAGAGAGACGCCAGAGAGAGAGACGCCAGAGAGAGAGACGCCAGAGAGAGAGACGCCAGAGAGAGAGACGCCAGAGAGAGAGACGCCAGAGAGAGAGACGCCAGAGAGAGAGAGACGCCAGAGAGAGACGCCAGAGAGAGAGACGCCAGAGAGAGAGACGCCAGAGAGAGAGACGCCAGAGAGAGAGACGCCAGAGAGAGAGAGACGCCAGAGAGAGAGACGCCAGAGAGAGAGACGCCAGAGAGAGAGACGCCAGAGAGAGAGACGCCAGAGAGAGAGACACCAGAGAGAGAGACACCAGAGAGAGAGACGCCAGAGACCCAGTTTTTAAAGAATTGAATTAACTGTGTTTGTGTCTGTGTGTGTCTCCCTGTGTGTGTCTGTTTGTGTGTGTGTGTGTGTGTGTCTGTTTGTGTCTCTGTGTGTGTGTGTGTGTGTGTGTGTGTGTCTCTGTGTGTGTGTGTGTGTTGCAGGTTTTCAAACCGTACAAAGCGTCCCAACACGACATGTGCAGGTTCCATTCTGAGGATTACATCGACTTCCTGCAGAAAGTGTCTCCAAACAACATGCAGGGCTTCACCAAGAGCCTCAACACTTTCAATGTGGGCGATGACTGGTGAGACCAGGACCAGGACCAGGACCAGGACCAGGACTAGGACCAGCACTAGGACCAGGACTAGGACCAAACCACATGCAGGGCTTCACCAAGAGCCTCAACACTTTCAATGTGGGCGATGACTGGTGAGACCAGGACCAGGACTAGGACCAAACCACATGCAGGGCTTCACCAAGAGCCTCAACACTTTCAATGTGGGAGATGACTGGTGAGACCAGGACCAGGACCAGGGAAAGGACAGGGACAAGGACCAGGGCCAGGGACCAGGGCCAGGGACCAGGGAAAGGACCAGGGATCAGGACCAGGGCCAGGGACAGGGCCAGGGACAGGGCCAGGGACAGGGCCAGGGACAGGGACAGGGACAGGGACAGGGCCAGGGACAGGGACAGGGCCAGGGCCAGGGCCAGGGACAGGGACAGGGACAGGGACAAGGACCAGGAACCTATGTTAGAGACCTCACATTACACCTGTGTCACACCTGTATACACCTGTGTCATACCTGTATACACCTGTGTTTCACCTGTATACACCAGTGTCACACCTGTGTTACACCTGTATACACCTGTGTCATACCTGTATACACCTGTGTTTCACCTGTATACACCAGTGTCACACCTGTGTTACACCTGTGTCACACCTGTGTCACTCCTGTATACACCTGTGTCACACCTGTGTTACACCTGTATACACCTGTGTCACACCTGTGTCACACCTATATACACCTGTGTCACACCTATATACACCTGTGTTACACCTGTATACACCTGTGTCACACCTGTGTTACACCTGTGTCACACCTGTGTCACACCTGTATACACCTGTGTCACACCTGTGTCACACCTATATACACCTGTATACACCTGTGTCACACCTGTGTTACACCTGTATACACCTGTATACACCTGTATCACACCTGTGTCACACCTGTGTCATACATGTGTCACACCTGTGTTACACCTGTGTCACATCTGTGTTACACCTGTATACACCTGTATCACACCTGTGTCACACCTGTGTCATACATGTGTCATACATGTGTCACACCTGTGTTACACCTGTATTCACCTGTGTCACACCTGTGTCACACCTGTGTCACACCTGTGTCATACATGTGTCACACCTGTGTTACACCTGTGTTACACCTGTATTCACCTGTGTCACACCTGTGTCACACCTGTGTCACACCTGTGTCATACATGTGTCACACCTGTGTTACACCTGTGTTACACCTGTATTCACCTGTGTCACACCTGTGTCACACCTGTGTTACACCTGTGTCATACCTGTGTCACACCTATAGACCTCACATTGGTCCTGGTTCTGTTTCAGTCCGGTTTTCCCAGGTCTGTTTGAGTTCTGCTCTCGTTATACCGGCGCTTCACTGCAGGGGGCGACACAACTCAACCACAAGGTGCGTCATCACATTGTCATGGTAACCGTCATGGTAACCGTTGTGGTATCTGTCGAGGTAACCGTTGTGGTATCTGTCGCGGTAACCGTCGTGGTAACCGTCGTGGTAACCGTCACAGTAACCGTCACAGTAACCGTCGTGGTAACCGTCACAGTAACCGTCACAGTAACCGTCACAGTAACCGTCACAGTAACCGTCACAGTAACCGTCACAGTAACCGTCACAGTAACCGTCACGGTAACCGTCACGGTAACCGTCGCGGTAACCGTCGCGGTAACCGTCGTGGTAACCGTCACGGTAACCGTCACGGTAACCGTCGCGGTAACCGTCACAGTAACCGTCACAGTAACCGTCACAGTAACCGTCACAGTAACCGTCACAGTAACCGTCACGGTAACCGTCACGTAACCGTCGCTGTAACCGCCGTGGAAACCGTCACGGTAACCGTCGTGGTAACCGTCACGGTAACCGTCGTGGTAACCGTCGTGGAAACCGTCACGGTAACCGTCGTGGTAACCGCCGTGGAAACCGTCACTGTAACCGTCGTGGTAACCGTCACGGTAACCGTCACGGTAACCGTCACGGTAACCGTCACGGTAACCGTCACGGTAACCGTCACGGTAACCGTCACGGTAACCGTCACGGTAACCGTCGCGGTAACCGTCGCGGTAACCGTCGCGGTAACCGTCGCGGTAACCGTCGTGGTAACCGTCGTGGTAACCGTCGTGGTAACCGTCGTGGTAACCGTCGTGGTAACCGTCGCGGTAACCGTCGTGGTAACCGTCGTGGTAACCGCCGTGGAAACCGTCGTGGTAACCATCGTGGTAACCGCCGTGGTAACCGCCGTGGAAACCGTCACGGTAACCGTCGTGGTAACTGTGTGACTGCAAGTGATGGGTTGACTGTGTCTGTTCCAGCTCTGTGACATCGCCATCAACTGGGCTGGAGGACTACACCACGCCAAGAAGTTTGAGGTCTCACACACACACACACACACACACACAGACACAGACAGACACACACACACACACACAGACACACACACACACACACAGACACACATACAGACACATACACACACACACACACACACGCACACACACACACACACACACATACACACACACACACACACACACACACACACACACTCCTGTTTCTTCAGATCATTGTAGCAGTTGTGTGTTTCCAGGCCTCTGGGTTTTGTTACGTCAATGACATCGTCATCAGTATCCTGGAGCTGCTCAAGTAAATTTCATGCTTAAAAAGACCTATTCTACTGCACTCTCTCTCTCTGGTCTCTCTCTCTGGTCTCTCTCTCTCTGGTCTCTCTCTCTGGTCTCTCTCTCTGGTCTCTCTCTCTGGTCTCTCTCTCTGGTCTCTCTCTCTGGTGTCTCTCTGGTCTCTCTCTCTGGTGTCTCTCTCTGGTCTCTCTCTCTGGTCTCTCTCTCTGGTGTCTCTCTCTGGTGTCTCTCTCTGGTCTCTCTCTCTGGTCTCTTCTCTCTCTGGTCTCTCTCTCTGGTCTCTCTCTGGTCTCTCTCTCTGGTCTCTCTCTCTGGTCTCTCTCTCTGGTCTCTCTCTCTGGTCTCTCTCTCTGGTCTCTCTCTCTGGTCTCTCTCTCTGGTCTCTCTCTCTGGTCTCTCTCTCTGGTCTCTCTCTCTGGTCTCTCTCTCTGGTCTCTCTCTGGTCTCTCTCTCTGGTCTCTCTCTGGTCTCTCTCTCTGGTCTCTCTCTGGTCTCTCTCTCTGGTCTCTCTCTGGTCTCTCTCTCTGGTCTCTCTCTCTGGTCTCTCTCTCTGGTCTCTCTCTCTGGTCTCTCTCTGGTCTCTCTCTCTGGTCTCTCTCTGGTCTCTCTCTCTGGTCTCTCTCTGGTCTCTCTCTCTGGTCTCTCTCTCTGGTCTCTCTCTCTGGTCTCTCTCTCTGGTCTCTCTCTGGTCTCTCTCTCTGGTCTCTCTCTGGTTAGCATCATTAACCTGGTTAGCATTAGCGCTCATAGCTCCGCCTCCTCAGGTACCACCCTCGCGTCCTCTACATTGACATTGACATTCACCACGGAGACGGCGTGCAGGAGGCCTTCTACCTGACCGACCGCGTCATGACCGTGTCCTTCCACAAGTACGGCAACTACTTCTTCCCCGGCACAGGTACGACACGGGTGCAAACAACACGGCGGTGTTCTGTGGAGTTGGTCTGTCGTCGAGATGCACTGCCTCAGCTGTTAATGATGTAATGCAAACCAAGATGGCCGACATGGAGTCTGAACGGATTAAGACACAAATGTCACGTTTACTGCAATTTGAGGCGAGATGTTGATGGTTCTGCAGTGTCACATGATCCTGTGGAACTACACAGCTGCTGTGTGATAGCAGTCATATTGACTCCTGTGGAACTACACAGCTGCTGTGTGATAGCAGTCATATTGACTCCTGTGGAACTACACAGCTGCTGTGTGATAGCAGTCATATTGACTCCTGTGAAACTACACAGCTGCTGTGTGATAGCAGTCATATTGACTCCTGTGGAACTACACTGCTGCTGTGTGATAGCAGTCATATTGACTCCTGGGAACTACACAGCTGCTGTGTGATAGCAGTCATATTGACTCCTGTGGAACTACACAGCTGCTGTGTGATAGCAGTCATATTGACTCCTGTGGAACTACACAGCTGCTGTGTGATAGCAGTCATATTGACTCCTGTGGAACTACACAGCTGCTGTGTGATAGCAGTCATATTGACTCCTGTGGAACTACACAGCTGCTGTGTGATAGCAGTCATATTGACTCCTGTGGAACTACACAGCTGCTGTGTGATAGCAGTCATATTGACTCCTGTGGAACTACACAGCTGCTGTGTGATAGCAGTCATATTGACTCCTGTGGAACTACACAGCTGCTGTGTGATAGCAGTCATATTGACTCCTGTGGAACTACACAGCTGCTGTGTGATAGCAGTCATATTGACTCCTGTGGAACTACACAGCTGCTGTGTGATAGCAGTCATATTGACTCCTGTGGAACTACACAGCTGCTGTGTGATAGCAGTCATATTGACTCCTGTGGAACTACACAGCTGCTGTGTGATAGCAGTCATATTGACTCCTGTGGAACTACACAGCTGCTGTGTGATAGCAGTCATATTGACTCCTGTGGAACTACACAGCTGCTGTGTGATAGCAGTCATATTGACTCCTGTGGAACTACACAGCTGCTGTGTGATAGCAGTCATATTGACTCCTGTGGAACTACACAGCTGCTGTGTGATAGCAGTCATATTGACTCCTGTGGAACTACACAGCTGCTGTGTGATAGCAGTCATATTGACTCCTGTGGAACTACACAGCTGCTGTGTGATAGCAGTCATATTGACTCCTGTGGAACTACACAGCTGCTGTGTGATAGCAGTCATATTGACTCCTGTGGAACTACACAGCTGCTGTGTGATAGCAGTCATATTGACTCCTGTGGAACCACACAGCTGCTGTGTGATAGCAGTCATATTGACTCCTGTGGAACTACACAGCTGCTGTGTGATAGCAGTCATATTGACTCCTGTGGAACTACACAGCTGCTGTGTGATAGCAGTCATATTGACTCCTGTGGAACTACACTGCTGCTGTGTGAGAGCAGTCATATTGACTCCTGTGGAACTACACAGCTGCTGTGTGATAGCAGTCATATTGACTCCTGTGGAACTACACAGCTGCTGTGTGATAGCAGTCATATTGACTCCTGTGGAACTACACAGCTGCTGTGTGATAGCAGTCATATTGACTCCTGTGGAACTACACAGCTGCAGTGTAGTTCCACAGGATCAGTGAACTGCTTAAAACAAACTTTACACGTTACTCTTAAAACCCACATACTGACTTCCTGGTTGCCCGTGTGTCATGGCGGCAGCATAACCCTGACTTCCTGGTTGCCCGTGTGTCATGGCGGTTGCCCGTGTGTCATGGCGGTTGCCCGTGTGTCATGGCGGTTGCCCGTGTGTCATGGCGGTTGCCCGTGTGTCATGGCGGTTGCCCGTGTGTCATGGCGGTTGCCCGTGTGTCATGGCGGCAGAGAATCATCTTTCCGACAAAAAATAGAAAACCCCCCTGAAAGTTTATTTTTTCAGATTTATTTGAACCAAGGCCAAGCAGAAGTAAAGGAAGGTCAAGACAAACGAAAACCAACATTGGAAAGCACGTCGACGAAGCAGAAGAGCAACCTGAGCTAACGGTTACAACGTTAGCAGCTACATTAGCCGCGAGTAAGCTAACAGGGGAGCAGCTGCTGGAAACGATGACAGATCTCCAAACTGTACTTCAAGAAATTAAGGATTTTTGAAGAAAGAAAACAGAATCTTTCCAGGAGCTGAAAGAGGACATAAAAAACACGAACATCCGAGTTGAAGAGGCAGAAAGGCGTATTACGGAGGCAGAGGGGCGCATCCAGATGATTGAAGATGCTACTTTGAGCTACTGGAGCTGCAAAAGCAAACCTTGTCCAGACTGACGGACCAAGAAAGCCGCTCCAGAAGAGACAATATCAGGATTCACGGGGTAAAAGAAGGTGCTGAAGAAGGGTCTCAGTCAATGATTGACTTGATTGTGACCCTGCTGGACCTGGCACCGTCACTTGACCTCACTGTCGAAAGATCCCACCGAGCCTCAGCCGCTCGACCACCGAACGAAAGATCCCACCGAGCCTCAGCCGCTCGACCACCGAACGAAAGATCCCACCGAGCCTCAGCCGCTCGACCACCGAACGAAAGATCCCACCGAGCCTCAGCCGCTCGACCACCGAACGAAAGATCCCACCGAGCCTCAGCCGCTCGACCACCGAACGAAAGATCCCACCGAGCCTTAGCCGCTCGACCACCGAACGAAAGATCCCACCGAGCCTTAGCCGCTCGACCACCGAACGAAAGATCCCCACCGAGCCTCAGCCGCTCGACCACCGAACGAAAGATCCCACCGAGCCTTAGCCGCTCGACCACCGAACGAAAGATCCCACCGAGCCTTAGCCGCTCGACCACCGAACGAAAGATCCCACCGAGCCTTAGCCGCTCGACCACCGAACGAAAGATCCCACCGAGCCTTAGCCGCTCGACCACCGAACGAAAGATCCCACCGAGCCTTAGCCGCTCGACCACCGAACGAGGCCCCGCCAAGATCAATAGTGCTAAAGCTACAAAGTTACAGAACCTGGATACATGCAAAAGCTCGACGTTTACAGAAACTCAGTTATGGAGTGACGTAAACTCAGGAAGGTGAGAAACAACTACTACTAAAAAGACTCATTTTAATTCTCCATTTGATTATAAAACATGTTTTTTCTCGATACTGCCATTAAGAGACATTTGTGTGACTTCCGGTGCAGCTAGCGAGAGGATGACAGCTTGAATAGTTTGCTCCCGACGGTTTTTGTAACTAAAGCTCCCACAGCCACTCTTTCTACAAACCCCTGGGTTTTTTTTAATATTATGGACACGGGAGTCTTAACAAGAAGTATGACAAGTGCCAACTCGACTGAAGACGAAGTGAATAAAAGCCGCGGAGAACAAAATCAATCCTTGGAGCTAAAGCTAGCTCGACAAGGCGGAGCTGCGGCTGAACCTTCTCTGCAGGCTATTTTGAGAGAGTTACAGGACTTCAGAAAAGACAGTAGTGAACAATACTCGGACATTAAACGTGAATTAAGAAGAGTAAATGAACGAATGGACGAAGCAGAAGAGAGGATTGATGAAACTGAGACGGTGCTACAAGCAGCATCCAGGCTAATCATGAGGCTAACGGAGCGTCAAGCTAACCTCGAGGCTAAGCTGCTAGACCAAGAAGGGAGAGGGAGAAGAGACAACCTCCGCTTTTATTCAATAAAGGAAGGTAAAGAAGGAACAGATATGGTGACTTTTATGGAAAACTTGTTGAAAAAGGCACTTGACTTTTCCCGAGACGAAGTCCTTGGAATTGAAAGAGCGCATCGTGCCCTGGTGGCTAAACCTAACAACAACAGCCAAGCTAAACCCAGGTGCATTGTGGTGAAATCTGCCAGCTACCGCACCAAAGAAGAGACCTTACGGAGAGCATGTTTTTCTAGCCGCAGGGGGAATTATTATAGTACTTTCAAACTCTCAACGTCTGAATGCAAAACAACTTCATTAAGATCTACTCGTATAATGTGAATGATATTTTAAGCCCATGTTAAAGAAGTAACATTTTAAGTAAGTTAAAAAAGGAAGGAGTGGGAATTGCCTTTAACAGGAAACCCATCTTAGAGAAAAAGAACATGAAAAGCTAAAGAGAAATGGATATTCTCAGGTATTTGCTGCTTCATATAAAACGGGTCCCATTTTAATATCAAGAAAAATCCCCTTTCAAAAACAATTGGTGATAAGTGACGGAGACATGTACTGGTCAAAGGGAGAACACAGGGAACATTAATATCTTAGTGACTATATATGCACCTCTGAAGGGGAGGGAGTTATGATAGTGGGAGGGAGTTATGATAGTGGGAGGGAGTTTATGATAGTGGGAGGGGTTATGATAGTGGGAGGGGTTATGATAGTGGGAGGGGGTTATGATAGTGGGAGGGAGTTATGATAGTGGGAGGGAGTTATGATAGTGGGAGGGGGTTATGATAGTGGGAGGGGGTTATGATAGTGGGAGGGGGTTATGATAGTGGGAGGGGGTTATGATAGTGGGAGGGGGTTATGATAGTGGGAGGGGTTATGATAGTGGAGGGGGTTATGATAGTGGGAGGGGGTTATGATAGTGGGAGGGAGTTTATGATAGTGGGAGGGAGTTATGATAGTGGGAGGGAGTTATGATAGTGGGAGGGAGTTATGATAGTGGGAGGGGTTATGATAGTGGGAGGGAGTTATGATAGTGGGAGGGAGTTATGATAGTGGGAGGGAGTTATGATAGTGGGAGGGAGTTATGATAGTGGGAGGGGTTATGATAGTGGGAGGGGAGTTATGATAGTGGGAGGGGGTTATGATAGTGGGAGGGGGTTATGATAGTGGGAGGGGTTATGATAGTGGGAGGGGGTTATGATAGTGGGAGGGGTTATGATAGTGGGAGGGGTTATGATAGTGGGAGGGAGTTATGATAGTGGGAGGGAGTTATGATAGTGGGAGGGGGTTATGATAGTGGGAGGGGGTTATGATAGTGGGAGGGGTTATGATAGTGGGAGGGGTTATGATAGTGGGAGGGAGTTATGATAGTGGGAGGGGGTTATGATAGTGGGAGGGGTTATGATAGTGGGAGGGGTTATGATAGTGGGAGGGGTTATGATAGTGGGAGGGGTTATGATAGTGGGAGGGAGTTATGATAGTGGGAGGGAGTTATGATAGTGGGAGGGGGTTATGATAGTGGGAGGGGGTTATGATAGTGGGAGGGGGTTATGATAGTGGGAGGGAGTTATGATAGTGGGAGGGAGTTATGATAGTGGGAGGGGTTATGATAGTGGGAGGGGTTATGATAGTGGGAGGGGTTATGATAGTGGGAGGGGTATGATAGTGGGAGGGGTTATGATAGTGGGAGGGGGTTATGATAGTGGGAGGGGTTATGATAGTGGGAGGGTTATGATAGTGGGAGGGGGTTATGATAGTGGGAGGGGTTATGATAGTGGGAGGGGGTTATGATAGTGGGAGGGGTTATGATAGTGGGAGGGGGTTATGATAGTGGGAGGGGTTATGATAGTGGGAGGGGGTTATGATAGTGGGAGGGGGTTATGATAGTGGGAGGGGTTATGATAGTGGGAGGGGGTTATGATAGTGGGAGGGGGTTATGATAGTGGGAGGGGGTTATGATAGTGGGAGGGGGTTATGATAGTGGGAGGGGTTATGATAGTGGGAGGGGGTTATGATAGTGGGAGGGAGTTATGATAGTGGGAGGGGTTATGATAGTGGGAGGGGTTATGATAGTGGGAGGGAGTTATGATAGTGGGAGGGGTTATGATAGTGGGAGGGAGTTATGATAGTGGGAGGGAGTTATGATAGTGGGAGGGGGTTATGATAGTGGGAGGGGTTATGATAGTGGGAGGGAGTTATGATAGTGGGAGGGGGTTATGATAGTGGGAGGGAGTTATGATAGTGGGAGGGAGTTATGATAGTGGGAGGGGGTTATGATAGTGGGAGGGGGTTATGATAGTGGGAGGGGGTTATGATAGTGGGAGGGGGTTATGATAGTGGGAGGGGGTTATGATAGTGGGAGGGGGGGTTATGATAGTGGGAGGGGGTTATGATAGTGGGAGGGGTTATGATAGTGGGAGGGGGTTATGATAGTGGGAGGGGGTTATGATAGTGGGAGGGGGTTATGATAGTGGGAGGGGGTTATGATAGTGGGAGGGGGTTATGATAGTGGGAGGGGTTATGATAGTGGGAGGGGGTTATGATAGTGGGAGGGGTTATGATAGTGGGAGGGGGTTATGATAGTGGGAGGGGTTATGATAGTGGGAGGGGGTTATGATAGTGGGAGGGAGTTATGATAGTGGGAGGGGGTTATGATAGTGGGAGGGGGTTATGATAGTGGGAGGGGTTATGATATGGGAGGGAGTTATGATAGTGGGAGGGGGTTATGATAGTGGGAGGGAGTTATGATAGTGGGAGGGAGTTATGATAGTGGGAGGGAGTTATGATAGTGGGAGGGAGTTATGATAGTGGGAGGGAGTTATGATAGTGGGAGGGGGTTATGATAGTGGGAGGGGGTTATGATAGTGGGAGGGAGTTATGATAGTGGGAGGGAGTTATGATAGTGGGAGGGGGTTATGATAGTGGGAGGGGGTTATGATAGTGGGAGGGAGTTATGATAGTGGGAGGGGGTTATGATAGTGGGAGGGAGTTATGATAGTGGGAGGGAGTTATGATAGTGGGAGGGAGTTATGATAGTGGGAGGGAGTTATGATAGTGGGAGGGAGTTATGATAGTGGGAGGGAGTTATGATAGTGGGAGGGAGTTATGATAGTGGGAGGGGGTTATGATAGTGGGAGGGAGTTATGATAGTGGGAGGGGTTATGATAGTGGGAGGGGGTTATGATAGTGGGAGGGGGTTATGATAGTGGGAGGGAGTTATGATAGTGGGAGGGAGTTATGATAGTGGGAGGGAGTTATGATAGTGGGAGGGAGTTATGATAGTGGGAGGGAGTTATGATAGTGGGAGGGAGTTATGATAGTGGGAGGGGGTTATGATAGTGGGAGGGGGTTATGATAGTGGGAGGGAGTTATGATAGTGGGAGGGAGTTATGATAGTGGGAGGGGGTTATGATAGTGGGAGGGGGTTATGATAGTGGGAGGGAGTTATGATAGTGGGAGGGGGTTATGATAGTGGGAGGGAGTTATGATAGTGGGAGGGGGTTATGATAGTGGGAGGGAGTTATGATAGTGGGAGGGGGTTATGATAGTGGGAGGGAGTTATGATAGTGGGAGGGGTTATGATAGTGGGAGGGAGTTATGATAGTGGGAGGGAGTTATGATAGTGGGAGGGAGTTATGATAGTGGGAGGGAGTTATGATAGTGGGAGGGGGTTATGATAGTGGGAGGGGGTTATGATAGTGGGAGGGGTTATGATAGTGATAGTTATGATAGTGGGAGGGAGTTATGATAGTGGGAGGGGGTTATGATAGTGGGAGGGAGTTATGATAGTGGGAGGGGGTTATGATAGTGGGAGGGGGTTATGATAGTGGGAGGGAGTTATGATAGTGGGAGGGAGTTATGATAGTGGGAGGGGGTTATGATAGTGGGAGGGAGTTATGATAGTGGGAGGGGGTTATGATAGTGGGAGGGAGTTATGATAGTGGGAGGGGGTTATGATAGTGGGAGGGAGTTATGATAGTGGGGGGCGTTATGATAGTGGGAGGGAGTTATGATAGTGGGAGGGGGTTATGATAGTGGGAGGGGGTTATGATAGTGGGAGGGAGTTATGATAGTGGGAGGGAGTTATGATAGTGGGAGGGGGTTATGATAGTGGGAGGGAGTTATGATAGTGG